CTTCAATTATTATAATTCCAGGTGAAGTTCACTTTAATAAAATTTTAATTTTAAGTTTAGTTACAAACCTTCGACATTTTCAATGAAGAAAAATCGTCTCTAAATAACTTTAGAAATCTGTTATTAATGTTACTAGATAGTGTGATAGTGCAGGATGCATATAGGACTGCATATAGGATGAGTTTTTTGTGTATCAATTTTTTTATGTGAGGGATTACTGCCCAGGTAGCAAGCACACGTCATTTTGACATTCCAAACTAGTCATTTTTGGTCATATGTTGTCAAAATGACTGATTATTGTTACATGACTTTATATTGACGTCTTGCTGTAACATTATTTTGACGTCATTTTTCAGTCATGAAGTGACTATTATTTTATTATGAATGTCATTAGTTAGTACACTGCGCGACAACGATTCGTTCCGTGGCTCCTCTCTTGCGGGACAAGGGAAGCGTAGAAGTGACCGATCAGCTGGCAGCGTGGCAGTGGCTGATTGGTTAGGGGCTACGCTCCCCTTGCCCCGCGAGAGCGACCATGGAACGAATCGTTGTCGCGGAGTGTACATTGATCCCATAAAAAAAATCTTTTAAAATTTTTTATATGACATGACTTATTTCACGATCAGACTTTTTATATATATATATATATATATATATATATATATATTTATATATTTATTTATTTATATTTATATTTATTATATATTATATTTTTATATTTATTATATTATATTTATGAAATAGAGAGATGAATTGAAAAGTTTAATATTACTGGCAATAACGAAAGGAATATTACTGAGATATTACTGAAATAGTCAAAATTATTAACTGATTCTTTCTATAAAATATTACTGATTTACAGCGCTGTACTTATATAATAATTACTGTAATCAGTGATTATTTACTGTTTTTCAGTCATAATACACTGACTCACTTTTAGAGAGTGCTTTATTCGACAACATTATTAAATATATTATTATGCTAAGAGAAAGACGTCAAAATGCGGTACATGTCATGATGTCAGGAATCTGTGACATTAGATCGTCACTTTTACGTCTTAAAAACGTCAATTCATGACGTCAAGAATAATCAGTGAATGACCAATTTGAAACATCAAAATGACGTGTGCTTGCTACCTGGGTGATTGCAATTGCAATAAATTAATCGATACATAGGTAGCAATTATTGGATAAGTATTACATTCGATATGCATGGTCGATTCAAATAATTAACATCTATAAGTACTTTCCGATTCACACATGATGCGCATAAAGTGATAGAAAATGTATAATAATATGCGTAACATGAACTATACATTTTCTGTCACTTCATGCGCATCATGCGTGAATCGGAAAGTATATTATGTACCGATCAATTCATTCCAATTACAGTCGATAATTTCTCGCATGATAAAAAAATTATACATCTCTCACAGCGCCTCTTTCGTCAAACGTGCGACCCATACAAGAAAAATATGTAAAGAATGTAGCTAGCCACGACGGTGACGTTTCTTAATCAAAAAGGTTCACATTGAGACTTTGCATCGTTATATTTCTGCTTATAGAGCATATAGAGCAAAAATAAAGACACTTTCCTTATATAAATCGAACCCAAGCAATTGATTGAACCTAATAAGAATTTGATCGATTCAGCGGTTATTGAGAACCGATAATATGCATTACTCGCAACTTAGCCATTCGCGTAAAGATACACGGTGTATCTTGCGCCTGAGTGATAATGACTCGACTTCAAGACACTACCGTGTCTCTTGATAAGATTCTAAGAAAATTAAACAAAATATACGCATTAAATAAACGGTTTCTAGACAAAATAATTTTAAAAAAAACTTTCTCTTTTATTGACATAAAATTTCTTTCGAACTAAAAGAAGGGGGATCCCGCGCATGACGCACATAAATCTTTTGTTCAATACATATGTTTTTGCTACAGAGGTTCTACGTAATATTTTTTACCTGCATGCAAGATAGAAGATAATCTTAAATATTTTTAGGATACGATGAGGGTAGATAAAGGATTATCTAAATATTAGGAAATAAATAGGAAAGGAATTATTTACTTTACCCAATCTAATCGTTACCTCTGTGCTCTGTACAAAAAACTTTTGTTCAATATTATGTTCTTGCCATAGTGGGACAGCGCACAGAAATATTGATTAGATTAAGTAAGGTAAATAGTTCGTTTTCTATTTATTTCTTAATATTTAAGATATTCCTCTATCTTACATATTTTATCCTTATTGAATCCTAAAAATATTTAAAATTATCTTCTATCTTTCATGCAGGTAAAAGACGTTGATTCTCTATGGCAAAGATAGATGTATTGAATAAAAAATTTATGTGCGTCAGCCGAAGGACCTCTCCCTTTCTTTTAGTTTGAAAGAAATTTTGTGTCCATAAAAGCAAAGTTCTTTTTACAATTATTTTTCCTAAAAATCTTTTGTTTACTTTATCCGTACATTTATGGCAAAAATAGATGTATTGAACAAAAGATTTATGTGCGTCAGCCGAAAGACCTCTCCTTTTCTTTTAGTTCGAAAGAAATTTTGTGTCCATAAAAGAGAAAGTTTCTTTAAAATTATTTTTTCTAGAAACCGTTTACTTAATGCGTATTTTGTTCAATTTTCTTAGAATCCTATATGTGTTACACGTGAGTTTTAGAGATTTTATTGTAGTTAATATTAAATTTTAATTGCAAAAACAATTATTCATAGCACACAAATTTAAGCATACAAAATCTAACATGATTAGAATGGTACGAAACATTTTACAGTGAAATTATTAGATTAGGAAATGTGCATTTAAAAAATGCATTATTAATAAATAATTATCTACAATTTACTAGGTTATCCTTTTTCTTTTATCAAAGTTGATATCAACACGTATTAATACTGTTATCTATACATGATATACAATGAATACAGTTTAATTACACATGCAAATGTCGAAAGTAGGATTGATTATATAATCACAATTGATGTGATATCAATCGATATCGAGACAAAAGAATCAATGATCAAATATTTTATCACAAGGAAATACCGATTTCTGAAAATAGATTTCGAGAAAATGAGTTTCCTATCTTTTCTTATGTTAAAGGTACACGTGGAGAATAAAAGTGTCGCATCTTTTCGGTTTTCTTTCACAAGCATGCTCACGTGACAATTGTGGTGGGAGATAGCTCAAAATTTTCAAGCCTGCAGGTATACAGTCTGGAGTGAAGGTGGAGAAACAGTTGAGAATTTTCGTAGCAACTGTACTGCAGTAAATATCGTGCGCTTTCTCATAGAAAATTAATTATATATGAGAATAGTTGTGATTATCTTAAATTACATTGTTTACAGTGTTTTACTGAATTCTTTTCGTAATGGCTTCGATAATGTGCTTACCTGAAGAGTTGATAGCTCGTATTCTTAGCTATAATGATATCAGTATTGAGGATATCATTAACTTCAGATGCACGTGCAAACAATTCGAGTGGGCAGCCAAATACGGCAAGTATTGGGAGAAAAAGTTTTCTCAGAGGTAATTTTTTACTTTATGCATTTTTTACGGTATTATTCCATTAATCACGCAATGTTTCATTTGAGTAATATAATAAATATAATAAATATAATATATTAATAATATAGCAATGAGAAATGAAATCTTGAAAATTACAAATTTTACATGTTTATTTTGTTAATTTAATTATTTTTTGTTTCATTAATTTTAATATAGTAACCTATTTTATAAATATAGAATAATAATAGAATAATAGAATAAATATAGAATAATGTGTATGTGTGCGTGTGTGTGTGCGCGCGCGCGCGCGCGCGCGAGCGAGAGAGAGAGAGAGAGAGAGAGAGAGAGAGAGAGAGAGAGAGAAAGGGAGGGTGGGAGGGAGAGCTAAGTAATTTTTTATATAACAATTACGTTATAAAGTTTAGATAATAGAGTAATGTAAATACTACTTTATATTTTTCATTATATTTACTATTATTATATACATTCTTATTGTAAAATTTAAATTTACAATTGATAAAGATTATATATTTCTAGGCAATTATATTTTATTGAGAGTTAGATCGCGCGCGCCCTAGACGCGAAGTATGATTATTTGTGCAAGATCGATAAATTGCGTGCTATATGACATAGCGGATCGATCTCAAATCAGAGAGTCATTACGGATCATCCAGCAGACACACACGTTTTATTTACGTCGAACCTTTTCCTGACTTTGTACACTGTTGAAATACTGCCGTGAATATATTCTGATGTAACGGTGCATTCCGATGCACCGTTTCGAATTCCCGGCAATGCTATCAGCCGGAAGCGGCAGAACACCCGCCGGGCAAGGGCAGGGGCGCGGTGCGCCCACATTTTTTATTCCTTTGTTAAACGAAGACCGGAGTCGTTAAATCTTGGAGTTATTAAACGGCCGAAAATTGCCGAGCGGAGCCGACGCGGCCCGAACTACCGACCGGCGAAAGCCCGCGCTCGGCGCACAACCGAACCCCTCCGAACGGGCCCGACCGTACCGTTCCGCATTAACCCGTTCGGAATAAAGTCACTAGATTAACAAAGTACCGCATTTTTGATCTCAATAAGATAAGCTGGAGCAAAAATGGCGTCCAATAGTATAGATATGGGCTGCGATTGTTGCATTTCTTCACACAACAACCTGGCATTTTTGATATTTTCTTCTTTTTCTGCGCAACAGAAGAAGTTTTCTCACCTCACGCACAACAGGACACAGGACAGACTAGGATCAAGGTTAGAAAAATTGCACTTAGTATAGATAGCTACACAAAGTGTGCACTATCGGACGTCATTTTTGCTCCATCTTATCTTATTGAGATCAAAATTGCGGTACTTTATTAATCTAGTGACTTTAGTTCGGAAGGGGTAACACCGCCGCGCGCCAACGCGGGTAATTAGCCGGTATAAAAAGGCCATATTTCGGCTGTATTAGCACATTCTCCTACTCTGCTCTTGGCCGTATGCTCAAGAGAATTTTCCGAAAACCTAAACTGAAACCGGCACAATCGCCCCGATCAAACAGGTCGAGAGTACTCTGCCTGAGCCGAAAGTTCTCGCTATCGCGTGGGATACTGCCTCCATCCGCTCCTCCGCATCCCGGCTGGAATAATTCCACGGAAGGTGGAATTCAGAGCCGCCCCGCTCGAGAGTCTCGAGGCCAACCGTGCCGAACGCGAGCCTGAAATATCGAGCACGAATTTCCCTTCGAGGAATTAGAACATATATTCGCGAAACCCGACAGCTTTTTCGCCGATTACGGAATTCCCGGAACGACGGGATTCCCCGTGTAAGAAACGCGGCAAAAACACCGCCACAACAAACGCGCGGTCATCGACCGATTCCGAGCGCATAGACACGCGCGACATAACAAGCGTCGCGTACACACACATTTATACACACACGCATTCATACAATTGCTTTTATACACGCGCATTTATACACTCGTTTTCATACACTCGCATTTATCCACTCGCATTTATATATACGCAATTATGCACTTTCAGTTATACTTTGTACACACACACTTTACCTGAATAAAGTATTCTTTTATCTTTAACTCGCTCACGATTAATTACCGAAATCCGACGAGCTATTCGCAATTTACTCCGGAAAATCGGACCGTTACACTGAAATATTCTTCGCATTCAAGTTACTTCTTGTTAATCGGTTATCCGGACTTTAATTAATTTACATTGCCTACATATATATATATATATATATATATATATAAAATACATATATATAATATATATATAATATATATAATATATATAATATATATAATATATATATATATATATACCTACATATATAATATATATATATATATATATATAAAATACATATATATAATATATATATAATATATATAATATATATAATATATATAATATATATATATATATATATACCTACATATATATAATATATATATATATATATATATATATATATATATATATTTATATATTCCTTTTTTTTCCTTTTTTGACATTCCTTCTCCCGCTCGAGTCAATTTAATTTGAAAACTCGAGAATTCTTCTCTCTTTCTCATTTTTGTCAACCTCATCGGCCTACATATTATATATTTTTCTGCATATTTATGTTTTCTACGTAAAGAGACAAAAAGATTGATTTTTTAATTGATACTTTGAATATTTCAAAAAATTTATTTCTCTGAAAATTTATTATTGATGCAATAACCATTTGCAATAGCCGTTTGATGTAATTTTCAATAGTTTATTAAAGTATTTTTCGTTCTAATTTTAGGTGGCCTTTTGCGAAGAAATTTTGTGACAAGATATTCAAGGAAAATGAGCAAAAAGAATCTGAAAAGAACGAACAGAAGAATAAAAAAAGTTTAAATTTTATGGAAACGGGCATTAAGTGTGCGAGACAATTACGGAATTACGTGTCTCAATTCATTCATGATCATTTCTATATCCACTTCGATTTTTCAATAGATAATTTCATAAATTTGGAAACTGTATTTTGTTTTGATAAAGATTTAAATAAAATAATTTGTAAGCCTGATAATTTTATAAATATTTTTTTCTTTATGGATGAGATTAAAAGCTTGCTTGCCCAATCTCCACGGTAGGTACAAAATTAAATTGTTTTTAATATACAGGGTGTCCTAGACCACCCGTACATCCCTTTTCTTTCAAAAGCATTTTAGAGAAAAACGTTTTCGACAAAAAATTGTATGGTTTTGAGGAGAACATAAGATGGTGTCATTGGTTTGACCTTGGATGGCATCGTTAAGATCAGGTCAAGGACACTTTTAATTTTTTAAATGGAACCATCTATTTTTTATTATATATTCTTACAGCTTATGTCGAGAGCTTTCCAAAACACTATAATAAAGTATTTCTTCATTGAGTACTTTTCAAGTTATGAGGCTTGAAATCATTTTTTAATTTTACATAAACCGTAAAATATCTAGTAAAATATTCATTTTTCGATTATCTCACCTTAATAATTTTATGTACAAAATAATGAGAGGAATCAATTGGTGTGAAGAAAAAACATAGTTGTTTTTAAGAAAAAAATATGTAATTTGCAATTAACAATTACATATTTTTTTTTTTAAAACAACTATGTGTTTTCTTTACACCAATTGATTCCTCTCATTATTTTGTACATAAAAGTATTAAGGTAAGATAATCGAAAAATATATATTATATAATATTTTACTAGATATTTTATGGTTTATGCAAAATTAAGAAATGATTTCAAGCCTCATAACTCGAAAAGTACTCAATGAAGAAATACTTTATTATAGTGTTTTGGAAAGCTCTCGACATAAACTATAAGAATATGTAATAAAAAATAGGTGGTTCCATTTAAGAAATTAAAAGTGTCCTTGACCTGATCTTAACGATGCCATCCAAGGTCAAACCAATGACACCATCTTATGTTCTCCTCAAAACCATACAATTTTTTGTCGAAAACGTTTTTCTCTAAAATGCTTAGGTTTTGAAAGAAAAGGTGTGTACGAGTGGTCTAGGACACCCTGTATATATATATATATATATATATATACAGGGTGTCAATTAAGTCCCGGGACGGCTGAATATTTTCTCATGTAAGGTATTTTTGAAAAAGGTCAAGGTCATTTCTGAAGTAATTTTCAACGAGGAATTCAACGGTGACCTTCAATTTGACCTTGAGCTTGACCTTCAAGGTTATTTGAAGGTCAAAGTGGTTTTTTTAAATAGGAACCCCTATTTTTGATTGTATATTCTTATAGCTGACCTCGAGAGCTTTCCAAAACACTATAATAAAATATTTTTCCCTCAAGCATTTATCGAGTTATGATGCTTCAAATCATTTCTTAATTTTACATAAACCGTAAAATATCTTGTAAAATATTCACTTTTCGATTATTTTACCTTAATACTTTTATGTACAAAATAATGAGAGGAATCAATTGGCGTAAAGAAAACATATAGTTGTTTTTAAGAAAAAATATGTAATTGTTAATTGCAAATTACATATTTTTTCTTAAAAACAACTATATGTTTTCTTTACGCCAATTGATTCCTCTCATTATTTTGTACATAAAAGTATTAAGGTAAAATAATCGAAAAGTGAATATTTTACAAGATATTTTACGGTTTATGTAAAATTAAGAAATGATTTGAAGCATCATAACTCGATAAATGCTTGAGGGAAAAATATTTTATTATAGTGTTTTGGAAAGCTCTCGAGGTCAGCTATAAGAATATACAATCAAAAATAGGGGTTCCTATTTAAAAAAACCACTTTGACCTTCAAATAACCTTGAAGGTCAAGCTCAAGGTCAAATTGAAGGTCACCGTTGAATTCCTCGTTGAAAATTACTTCAGAAATGACCTTGACCTTTTTCAAAAATACCTTACATGAGAAAATATTCAGCCCCGGGACTTAATTGACATCCTGTATATATATATGTGTGTATGTATGTATGTATGTATGTATGTATATAAATTTTCAGAAGAGCGGGTTGCGACCTAACGGAAAGATATTGCAATATAAAATTGTTTTATTATCTGAGGTACCATTTGATAAGAGAGTATTGGGAAAGATTTGAAGAACAACCTCACAAAAAGCTACTTTTGGAACTAGGTGCTACTATTATAGTACAAAGGTTCCAACCCCAAAAGGATGTATTTTATTCGATCATAAAAACGTCACTAGATAATATTGCATTAGAAGTATTGAATTATCTCAGAGAAGAACATCCTGACCATTCGATATTTTCAACGACTGCTGAAAATTTTGCCTATTGGAAGAACAACAATATCGACGATAATCATTGGGATGAAATGGAAGGAACGCAAATTATGAATGCACTCGAGGAATATATCTTTGACAAATTAAACTTCAAACTAAACAAATCGAAAAACATAGATTACATGTGTATAGATAATGTAAGTTATTAAAGATTTATATTATAATACATTGAAATTATGTCCAATTATGTCATAAACATGATCGTATATTTGATCATATTATTACGTTAAAAGCACTTCTTCCCTCTCTTTTTCTCTGTAATTAATTTATTGTATTGTAATTATTGACACAGGTCTTAGAAAGGAAATGTGGCGAGGAAATAATTTTATTTATAATATATCAGAGTGTGGCGAGAAGACTTGGCCTACGTTGCGATATAATAAAGTTGCCACATTGCTCCCGTGTATGTATATTTTGGAAGCCAAAATAGTAAGTATAATATTAGATTAATAGGTATCCGAATTTGTCGGTTTTTTTCTTCTTATCACACACACGCACACATATGTAACTTGTTTTATTGTTTATAGTGTCACGAGTAGTTTAGAAGATGTAAGATGTTTTAACTTAAGTTATGCCACATTCCCGGATTGTCTCGTCGAGCAACGGTGTTCTGAAAAACCTTTAGCAATAACAGCTGAAGAGGTATTACTCATATGATATGATTTTTCTATAAATTTAACTCTAATCAATTTATTAAACTTGTAACATCTTGACAAGATATAAGCCAATGAAACACTTTATATAGGCAGAAAAATATACAATTTCTTCTTTTCTGTTTGTAATAGGAGATCTATATGCGTGTTACATCTTTTTTCAGATACGGCAGAATTTGATAGAAATACTTATATGTATGAACGTAGAATGGTGTAAAAACACTTTAGCGCCTATGCCGCCAAAAGCAATTAGAGACGTCTGGGATATAAATTTAAGAGAGGTATTTTGACATTTTATATATCACATATTATTATATAATAATAATAAAAAATCTCTGACATTTTTTCTGTCTGATTACAATTATATATATATATATATATATATATATATATATATATATATTTACATTTATATATAATTTAATTAGCTGTAATTGAAAAGCTTTCTACAAAATTCCATTTCTAGAAATTACTTGACAAGAGATAGCCATTAATATCTGATTTTACATTTTCCAGCTCAATTTTCACGTTTATATAAAAAAACAATCAAATATAAGACCGAAGGAAATAAAATTTGCGGTTGGAATGATTGTAGCACATAATCATAAAAGATTTGATCACTCTTTAAGTAGTTCTGCCGGTGTAATAGTCGGATGGCACCGATATGAAGATCATGTGATGTTCCCTAGATACAATTTAAGGAAACCGTTAAACATTCTCTGTAGCAATTTTAATAGTAAAACACATTACATAATACTTGGTGAAAATAATAAAACGTATTACGTCGAAGAGGGTATGAATATCATTTTAAATTACAATTGTACGAACTCGCCTCTTTATATATAACATAAAATCAGGACATCTTATTTTATTTAGATTTATTTTAGATATTTTAGATGTTTATTCTTTTTATACTTTAGTTGCCTTATTTTAATTATTATTTTATTTATATAATCTTATTTGATCTATATATGTTATTTAGTTCACCATATATTAATTTATTTTTTACTTTTTACTTTAGATGCTATAACTAAAACAACGCCGAAATGGATCGATAATAACGAAATAGGGCTCTACTTTTGTAAATTTGAAGACACGCATTATGTGCCAAACGAAATACTGGCGACATGTTACCCACATGATGCCGCTATAACTGCAGCAATATCTGACGATTAGATAAAAATACATAAATTGTATAATGTGTGTAATATTTAGAATATATAAAACTTTCGTTAAATATCATGTTATATAAAACTTTTGACAAATGTTATATTAAAAAACCAAGAACTCACCTATTATTAAGTCAAAATATAATATTGCTCTGATAACGAATTAATAATATTAAATGTTATAATCATAAATTACCTTCAGATCTATATAAAATGTGTTTCACTAATAATAAAAAATCGATAAGAAGTAAGAGATTATTAGAAATATTTCTTCACAGAATTCTGTTTCTTGGCATATTTTAAACAGGGAAAATTCTTTCATGAATGATAATATGCAGTCTAATTGTAAGTGTATTTAACTAAAATGTGAATATATTTTAATATTTTTTGCATAATGTTGCTAAGGACTGGTATCTCCAATCTTATTATGAGATTTATGAAAATATTTCATTATATTGTTATCTAGATAAAAGAGAGATAAGATGATAATACGCATTCTTACAAAATCCTTATAATTAAGGAAATCATTTTGTAGATTAAATTATATTTTAGAGTTCTATTAAAATTCGCATTATATTTTAGAGTTCTTTATTAAAAGTTAATAATTTAGCTAATATAATTTAGTTAATAATAAGTGCATAATTTTTTGGATTTTATAATTTACATTTAATTTCTCTTTATAAGAAGAATTTTATGTTAAAGTAAAATATTTGTGAATGAGAATTTATTTTTAATATCACAAAACAATTGTGAGCTCTCACTTTCTTATCGAGTATTCGATAGTAAACGAAATATACAGTAGATGCAACGACAATAAAGATATATTATCATGATAATTTCGGGTTGTCGAAAAATATTTCGCTGTGAAAAATGAATATTTAATAGCAGGATGCTTTCCTATATTTCTCGCGACGCGCAAACATTTCCAAATGTTTGACAACCTGACATTATCATGATAATATATTATTCTCTCATCACAGCGTCCCATTCTATATTATCTCTACAATCGAATATTTAACAAAAGAGTCACTATCGTTTTGCAACATGCAAGGAAACATGCTAAGATATTATTCTAGAAATCAATTCTTCTTGTCGCAGATAGGTATTTGGCCTTATCAGTCTAAGATGATAAAGATATTGCTACCGTGTTTTATAATAAGCAGCTTATTATCTATTCTTGTACCTCAGGTAATATGTACGCTTTTTATGCATTTAATTGTATTATCATGGTAAATGTAATTAGCTAAATATTATCGAACGATTCGATTTCTTTCCAATGAAATATTTTTCTCACACAATATATTTTCTTTCTCTCAGTATAACTAATCGATATTATTACTATCTTATTATTATTAATAGGTGTTTTTGCTGTACAACAGTTGGGGTGATATGAATATGACTGTCGAAGGTATAGTTAATATTATCCTTGTCACTGGCGCTACAACAAAATTAGTTAACATTGTTACGAATAACAAAAAGGTTCGAAAATATTCGACTTTGATACGTGTAATGTGTTAATTATGCATATACGATTTTTGTTTCACAGTGAAAACATATTTTAGAAAAAAAGCATATTTTGAATAAATTATAATTTTTGGTAGAGAATTATATTCATAATTTTATAACATATGCCATAAAATGATAAAGATGAAATGATAAGTTATTACATACAATGTTATTACATACAAAATTAATAAATGCAATTTTAAATCATACATGTATGATGATCATTCAAGTGTTTTTTGTAGAAACACACACAGAAAATCACAAATATAACGTGATCAAAGAGTGAGCTTTAATTTTTATCTTTCATGAATATTGAATGTTACGTATATTTACGTATAATCACAAATAAAAAAAACTACTTCGTTATGTATAATTCTCACTTTTATTATATATAGGATGTCTCACAATCTTCACCTCGTGAAATAATTTAATAGAATATTCTAGAGATAAAATAGAATAAAAAATCTTAATACGAAAAAAATTGAGGAGTTTTTAATAGTTTTCAATTTATAAGCGATTAAAACTTGCAAATAATATCGCGTAAAACTCGCGCACTCAGGCCCATATCTACACATATACACGTACCGATCTCTCAAATGTTATTGATTTTTTTCAAGTCAGGTGATATTGATTTTTACTGCACAGCTGATCTTATTTTGTCCTTTCTTACGTGCGTGTGTTTCATATATGTACATGTTATATGCATTATGGCGATTAATTATCGAATTATGAATAATATATGGAAAATTTAACTGCTTTTTAAATAAAAATTTAAATAGTTGATTAATTATCATATTTAAATAGAATTATAAAATCTAATATTTTCATTTAAAAAAGAAGAAACATTTTTTTTAATCAAACAAAATATTTGTTTAAGAGAGAAATATATTTTTTTAAATATTTTTTTAAGAGAGAAGTGAACTTATGTGGTTTTAATAAATGAACTAAATAAAATTAAATCGTTTTTTTTTACAATGATTTAATTTCGTTTTTAACGGTTAATTATTATTTTTAGTTATTAATTTTATATTTATTTACGGATGTTGTGAGACACCCTGTGTAATGTTTCTTTATTTAATTTTTATTGTTAGTTACAATATTTGTTACAAGTAATGGACGAACATTGGCGGCTCTTTCATGGCAAGTGCGAGCTTCATATTTTAAAGCGTTATGCTAACATTGGCCAACTAATAACAAAATATTACTCAGGTAATTGGATAATTAGTTTTAAGTTGCAAAACAAATTTTATAATAATTTAATATAGTTAATTGCTTTAAACCTACTGATTAGTGTTCAAAAATATATTAAGTTGTGCAGAAAATTTTAATATTATAAAAAATAATTAAAAAATAATTAAAAATAGTTATTATATTAACAATGTATGTTTTTTGCAGTATACATTAACATATTCGTAGTACTGTTCTTGTCAATACCGTTGATACCAAAAATTCTAGATGTCGTAATACCGTTGAATCAATCACGGCCATTTATATATGTGCTTGAGGGAGACTGGGGAGTAGACAAAGAAAAATATTATTATCCAATTATGTTGCATTGCTATCTTGCAATTATAGTTGGTACTAGATGTTTGGTGAATATTGATACTATGTATGTGGTATGTGTGTTGCATGGTTGTAGTTTATTTAATGCTATTGGGTAAGTAAAGTAAAAGAGATATTTTATTACTTCATTTTCATAAATTATTAAATAATTATTCCGGCTTAAAATAGATCCCGATGCAGATTGTTTATAATTTTAATAATATAATTTACATTTTTCCAAGCATTCGTCTTGAAAATATCTTGTCTAAGGCTAAACTTATGCAACACGAGCAAATAATGAGCTTAGAATACGCAGTAATAAAAGAATATTATTCTGAAGATTATCATGAGATGATTGCGTGCTTAAAAAAACATCAACTTGCAATAAAGTTCGTATTGTGGAAAATTTTATTATAAATGACAATTTTGTCAATATTATTTAGTCATAATTATTACACATAAAAGATTCTGCTATCTTTTTTCTGCTATCTTTTAGATACATTTATATGCTAGATTCTACATTCAAACATGCGACATTTCTCATCTTATTTTTGAACGTAATGATTCTGAGTTTAGTCGGACTACAAGTAAATAACAACTTTAGTCAATTATTAAAAGTACCTAGAGGTACCAAAAAAAGTTTAGTTTTTAATGTTTTATGCGTATAGAAAATTTTTGCACATATTCATATATAAAAAGAATTATAAAACAATATATTTAAGTGAGAAGAGTTTATATTTCTTTAAATTTTCGATTTTTTTATTGAAATAAAAATCATAAAAAACTAAAAACTCGAATGTTTATAGAAATTTCGAAATTTAAATCCATTATAGCTAATCAATAAATTTGGACAAACTCAGGAAGTGATAAGATTTGGATGCATAGTTATGGGATCGATCACTCACCTCTTGAGCATGTGTTTACCTGGACAATTACTTTTAGATAGAAGTATAGAAATTTTCGACAAAGCGCAAGTATCCAAATCGTGTTTTAATTTAAATTACATTAATTATTAAAATTACTATAAATGTTAATTATTATAATTATTTCGGAAACTATATGATCGGTTGAATGAAATGTCTTTATAATATCTCTAATAATTCTATCACATAAAATATTTTTATCGTGTAGGTATAGTGCACAATGGTATATGTTTTCGCTAAAAACAACAAAGTTATTGAGTATACTTTTACATAGAAGTTTGGTACCTTGCACGTTGTCGGCTGCAAACATGTATATTATGTCGATGACTACGTTTAGTTCCGTACGTTCACTTTATTAGGACAGGCGTGGAAAATCTTTTATATAATAACCGTTATAATATTATAATATATTAATGTCCTTTTTTAAGGTGATGCAAACAGCCATGTCATACTTCACTACCTTTTTATCAGTCAGCTAAACATGTAAACTAAAATACTGCATTTAAAAAATCGTTAATTTTTATTAGTATATATTACTGTTATAAAATATATTTAAAATCATTGTAATAAATGTTAATGTTTCCTGTATTAAAAATGCGTATTTCTTTTTTATTATCAAAGTCCAGTCAATAATATATATCAATATTTAGATTCATTTAGATTTCATATGGAAGCAAAGTAATATTTAAGACTTTAATCGAAATAATATTCAATCATGTTTTGCGGCATGCGGAAGATAAAATAAATGTTTCATGCTAAATTTTCAGCTATAGAAGACAGTGTTATTATAAATTTTATTCAAAAGTTTTATATCTTTCCGAATATATATACTACAATATTTTATACTTACATTATACTACGCTGTACATTTTATAATATGCTTGCCGTAACAAATTTTTTATAGAGTATTAAAAAATTATAGATTAAAAAAAATTATACCCAGCAAATAATATAATAGCAGCACAATACTGACAACAAAGTTATAAATTCTTTTTTAACAGAGTCATTGATTTCTTTACAAAACGTTTTAAGGATGTTTTATATGTATAATCCCAGCAAAAAATAGCTGAAAATCAATATTGACGAATATATCCACTTTTGTATTTTGAGTAAGAAATTGTGTGGAATATTACAATTTGATCTTATTGTTAGCTACAGTGCAGAGATGTATTTTTTAATATTTATTGCGTTTTTACTGAAATATTCCGAATTTTGTTAATCGAAATGATTAACTTTTGGCAGAGAATTTCGCCTTGTGACAGATAGATGGCTAACTTCATTGAATTATATTTAATATCTTTTGAACTAGTTAGTACTTGTATAATATTATTTGACCAAATATTTCCTCTGTATCTAAATTTTTGCAAATTTTAAACAAATTCTGAATATTATTTCCACGTGTTTTTGTCATTTGAATCGACATGATTATACGTTTCCCATAAAAACACATGTTAATTCGGTGTAAATTAAAATCCTTATAACTTGAACGCTTTCGGTGTAAATTAAAATCCTTATAACGTGAACGCTTTAGTGAATCGATTTAAAAATTGTAATGAAGATTCTACACATATGTAAAGACATTCTGTATAATTTTCATTAAATTCTCAATATTTTGAAAATAGGTACAAAATATCCTTAAAAATAAATAACTCTTTTTGTGTTTCAAGTCTGTGATTCAATATGACTTACTAATAATATACATATACATTATTTATAAAAAAAAACAAAAGATTATTAAGAATATATTCTCTCAAATTTTTTATATACTTTCATCTGGAAAAATTCGTTACAGCAATGATTATATGTAGTTCTCAGTGGCTGAAATATAAATGAAACTTTCTTTTTCTCTCTCTCTCTCTCTCTTTCTCTCTCTTTTTCTTTCATCAATGGTCTTATTTACAATTTATATTAAACATTTTCTTAGAATTTAATACATAATCGCATGCTAGTTTAATAACTGTTTTGATTCGAAAATTAGTGTGTTTTTATTATTTTAATTTGATAATAAAACATATCTTATTAAACATCAAGCGTATATATTTTATATTTTTGGAATTTTTTGTGAATGTTAAAGAACAAGATTGCTGCAATCATGGCAACCATATACATTATCTTTTGTAGTTTATTCCAGTAAAAATTTATAATTTTTCGTACATTATAATTTACATACATTTTCTTTATTCGAAAAAGTCTAGATTGATAAGATCAAATAATATTTGTAATGAGAAGAATTTATTTTTAATATCGCGTAATATGTACGTACCCATACATGTTGCAAAACAGTTGAGAAACTGATTTCTCTTGTTAAGTATTTGTAAAAAAAATATAAAACAAAATAACGAGAAAGCTGTATCATCGTGATAATTTCGGGTTGTCGGAAAACATTCACGAGAAAAATGCGAAAAATGAATTTTTAATCACACTATACAAAAATAGGGGTAAACTCCCTTTATAAATCAATAATAAATGTCTACTTTTCACGACGCGGAGATATTTTGCGACAACCGGAAATTATCATAATGATATATCTCCCTCGTCACTATATCCCCCCTACATTTTCCTATAGCCAAATATTTAACAAGAGAGTGATCATTCTTATTTTGCAATCTTGTAATCGTTGGCAATATGGAAGGGGACATGTTAAGATATTACTATAGAAATCAAATCTTCTTGTCGCAGATGGGTATTTGGCCTTATCAACACAGAATGATAAAGATATTGCTACCGTGTTTTTTATTAATCGCCGAGGCGTCCGCATTTATGACTCAGGTAATGCGCACAAGCACGTTATGCATACAATTGTATAATTGTCATCATAGCAAATCAGCAATAAGCTAAGAAATGTTGTTCAACATGATTCGATATTTTAATATATTCGCAATACACTTCTCTCTTTCACCGATCGATGTTACCCACCTTTACAGATACTTTTGGTGTATAATACTTGGGGTGACATGAATATGACTGTCGAAGGTATAGTTAACATGATTCTTGCCACTGGTGCCACTACGAAATTATTGAATATTGTTATAAATAATAAAAAGGTAATTCTCGATCTCAGTGAGTCATATATATGATATGTGGGATATATGTGTAATGCATAAATCACATATGATCTTTTTATCATTGATGAATGTCAAAAAATATATTTTAGATGATCCCTAATTTTTGATAGAATTATATTTATAATTTATTTATTTTCAATTTCTTTATTTATTTATAATTTATTTATTTTATATGTATGATAATAAAATATGATAATAAAATTCATTTGTATAATAAAAAAAAATTATACTAAATACAATTTTATACATATATATAAGTTGATCATTCTAGTGTTTTCCATAGTACACATAAAAAATCGTAAATATAATTCGACAAACGTGAGCTTTAATTTTTATATTTCGTGTACTACTGAATTTAGACGCATTCATTATATTTATAAATAATAAAAATATTTATTACTTCATTATATATAATCCTCTAAATAATTCTCTTCTTTATTATTGCAAGTTGCAATATTTGTTAGAACTGATGCATGAACATTGGCAACTCTTTCATAGCGAGTCCGAGCTTCATATTTTGAGATATTATGCTAACGTTGCCCAAAAAATGACAAAATATTACTCAGGTAACCGGATAATTATTTTTGAGATGCATTATATACATTCCAATAATTTAACAGTTAATTACTTTAAATCTGTATATTAGTGCACAAAGATAAATCAAATTTAAAAATAAATCTGTATATTATGAAAAATAATAAAGAATAAGTAAAATTATTGCAACCATGTAATATGAAAAATAGTAAGGTTATTGTAGAAATGTCTTTTTGCAGTGTACATTAACATATTCGTTGCAATATTTATGTCAATACCTTTAATGCCAAAAATTCTAGATGTCATAATACCATTGAATGAGTCACGACCATCTATATATGTGATTGAGGGAGACTGGGGAGTAGACAAAGAAAAATATTATTATCCAATTATGTTGCATTCCTATCTTGCAGTTATAATTAGTACTAGATGTATGGTGAACGTAGATACCATGTATATAGCATGTGTATTACACGGTTGTAGTTTATTTAATGCTATCGGGTAAATAATAGAGATTGTAAGATATATATATAAATATAATTACTTTATTTGTAATCTAGTTATTAGATAATTATTCCAGCTTGAAAAATATCTCGATTTTGACTATATGCAATTTTGACAATATCTAATGCATTTTTTCAAGCAACCGTCTTGAAAATAATTTCGATAAGGTTAAACTTGCAAAAAATGAGACCCAAATGAATAAAAAACACTCAATAATAAAGGAATATAATTCTGAAGATTATCACGAAATGATTGCATGCTTAAAAAAACATCAACTTGCAATAGAGTACGTATTATGGAAAAATTTTATCATTAATAATAATTTTATTTATATCATTCAATTATGATTACCACATATAATATATTAAATTTTATATACATGTAATAATTTCTTAATAATTATTCTTTATAATTAATAACATTTTTATTATTTTTAGATTCATTCAATTCTTAGACTGTACATTTCGAAACGCGACGTTTGTCATCTTGACTTTAAATGTAATGATTCTAAGTCTAGTTGGATTACAAGTAAATTATTATAACAATTATCAAAAATCTTTATAAAAATTTCTAAAAAAATGCCGAATTTTGTAAAATTTCTTATTCTAATACTTCTTTTGCAAAATTTCTTCATGTATTATAATCTTGTCAAAATTATATTTAACAAATGTAAATTTATATATACAGGGTGTCCTAGTTATCTTCCGTCATCTTTCAAAGACAGATTCCTGGAATCATTTGAAGACGATTTTTTCTCATCGAAAATGTCAATGAAGACCAATCATTTTTTGCATGTTCCTGATATTTGTCATCATATATCTTTGCAATTAAGTTTTAAATTAAAACTCAACTAAAGTAAACTCTATTTAATACTAATCAAAGAATGTGGTTTTGTTAATATTTTATTTCTACAAAGCTTAGTTTACAAAAAACCCCTTATTTCCAATCACTTATAATTCAAAAATTATTAGTGCCATGACATTTTCGTTGAGGAAAAATCATCTTTAGATGATCTCAGGAATCTGTCTTTGAAAGAATGGAAGATAACTAGGACATCCTGTATATATATATGTATATATATATATATATTATATATATATATAATATATATATATATATATATATACATAAAGTAAATATATAGTTATGTGATATGTAATAAAGTGATATGTAATAAAATAATACATAAAAGTAACTTATAATAGGAAAATATAAGTTGATATTGTTTCTACTGTCAATATACGTATTATTTTGTGAAAGAAAAAGCATAGAAAAAGAAGTAGAAAACTTAGAAAAATTTTTAAATTTATTTACGTTGTAGCTTATCAATAAGTTCGGACAAACACAAGAAGTAATAAGATTTGCATGCATAGTCATGGGATCGGTTACTCACCTCGCGAGCATATGTTTACCCGGACAACTACTTTTGGATAGTAGTTTAGAAGTGTTCGATAAAGCGCAAGTATTCAAACCAAATGTTTATATTTAAATTACTTTAATTATTATCATTACTAAATAAGTAAATATTAATTATTCTGAATATTAATTACTACTCATAGCACAGAATATTGTGGCAATATTGCGGCAGTATTGTAATGTTATTACAATGTTAGAACAATATTAATACTATTTTTGCAATATTCTCTCTTATATGTATATAAATATTAATTACTATAAATATTACTATAAATAATAATTATTTTCTAACAATAACACTTTATGATCGATTTAATATATAACTTCGTTTCCAGTAATTAAAAAACAGCAGTAATTAAAAATGCTGTCACATAAAATATTTTTATCGTGTAGGTATAATGCACAATGGTATATGTTTTCACTGAAAACGAAAAGGTTATTGAGCATACTTTTACATAGAAGTTTGGTACCTTGCATATTGTCGGCTGCAAACATGTACATTATGTCGATGACTACATTCAGTTCAGTATGTTTGCTTTATTTGTGAAAAATATCTCGTATTGTAGCCTTTATAATATTATAACATATTAATGCTCCCTTTCAAGGTGATGCAAACAGCCATGTCATACTTCACAACCTTTTTATCAGTGAGCTAAATATGTAAACATTATTTATTGTTATATATTGTTATTAGAGAATATATATTATTATTAAAGAATATATTTAAAATTATTATAATAAATGTTAAATAATATATACCTCAAATATTAAAAGTGTGTATTTCATTTTTAATGTCAAAGTCCTTTTATATATATATATATATGTATATATATATATATATATATATAAATTTTTATATTCAATATATATATATATATATATTTTTTTTTTTTCGAGATATATATATTTTTTTCCACCAAGAGATCGCAGGGAAACTAATTTGAAAAAATAACTATTTCACATAATTTTGAAGTTTTTGTACATAATTGTGTACATAGGGTCTGAATGGGATTAAGACGTCCTTAGACGTCATCATGTTTGCTGGGAATTTATACATATTTTTACAAAATCAATTTATTTAAGAAAATTATTAACAATTTATAAAACGAGAACATATGTAATTATCATAATAAAACGATATTTAATTTTATATTAAGGCGAATATATTTTATTTTTTCAGTATTTTGTGAATGTTATTGTAGACTGCTCTGTAATCATTTGCCAACTCAATGTATTATATTTTAAGTTTTAATGTAGTAAAAATTCATAATTTTATAATTTACATTATTTCTCTTTATACAAAAGTTTTAAGTTAAAATAAGATCAAATGTTTGTTAGAAGAAGATTTCATTTTCAGTATTATAAAACATATTGTAAAACAAGCTGTGAAACTGATCACTCTTTATTATATTCGAGTTTAAACGAAATATACAGCGTAAGAAATATATTATTATAACAATTTCGGGTTGTCAAGAAACATTTACTAGAAAAATTAATATTTAATCATAATAATACTTCAAAAATCGATATTAAGTACTTACTTTTCGCGACATGCAAACATTTCCATATGCTTTATGACAACCCGAAATTATCGTAATGATACATTCTTCTCGTTTCTGCGTCCGCTCTATATTTTCCCTATAATCTAATAAAGTTGTGATCAGTTTTGTCTTGCAACATGCAAGGGGACATGCTAAGATACTATTCTAGAAATCAAATTTTCTTGTCGCAGATGGGTATTTGGCCTTATCAGTCTATGGTGATAAAGATACTGCTACCGTCTTTTTTAGTAGCTACCGAGGTATCTACTTTTATAACACAGGTAATGTTCGTTAAGTATACAATTGTCTGATTATGTCACCATCACAAACTCAATAAAATTCAATTTCTCTTTATTAAAATATTTTCGCAATGTATTTCTCTCCCTTTTTATGTCAGCGATAGATGTTATCATTTTTAATTTATAGGTGTTTTTGTTGCATAATACTTGGGGAGACATGAATATGACCATCGAAGGTATAATTAACACTATTCTCCTCGTTGGTGCTACTGCGAAATTAATTAATATTGTTATCAATAATAAAAAGGTAGTTTAATTATGTGAAATATGTAAATCACATTTTATGTTCAATAGCGAATGTCAAAAAACATATTGTAGATGATCGTTAATTTTAGACAGAATTGTAATTTTAAATCATACATATAATTTTATGTATATTATACATATAATACACATCACGATCACTCAAATGATTTCTGCAACGCACAATTTCTATGCAGAAATATGTACAAAATCGAAGATATGATTCAATACAAATGATAATTTTTATGTTTCAAATTTTGTTTTATATAATATTGAATTTTATATGCATCCATTGTATAAACTTCTTATTTTTTTATTTTTTCACAAATAATAAAAAAATTATCATTTCATTATATACAATCCTCACTTCTGTTATATGTATATAAAATGTATTTCTATTTAATTTTTCTCTTTTTCTTTTTGTCAGTTGCAACATTTGTTAGAATTGATGGATGAACATTGGCGACTCTTTCATAGCGAGTGCGAACTTCATATTTTGAAGCTTTATGCTAATTATGGCCAAAAATTGACAAAATATTACTCAGGTAATCGAATAATTAATTTTAAGTTGAATAAACGAATCAAATAAATTTTATAATAATTTTATAAAATTAATATAATAATTAAAATATTAATAAATGAAATAACAATTTTATAATTAATTGCTATAATTATTTTGTTAATTATTTAATTATTTATTAATTATATTAATTTATTAATATAATATTAATAAATTAAGTAATAATTTTATAATTAATTGCTTTGAATTCGTTGAGTAATTCTTAGAGATATATTAAATTTGGATAACAATTTCTATATTATCCAAAACTAATTAAAAAAAATAATAGGATTATTGTAGTAATATATATATATTTTCTTTGCAGTATACATTAATATATTCATAGTAATGTTTATGACAATACCGTTAATGCCAAAAATTCTAGATATCATAATACCATTAAATGAATCACGGCCAGTTATATATGTGATTGAAGGAGATTGGAAAGTAGATAAAGAGAAATATTATTATCCAATCTTATTGCATTGCTATCTTACAGTTGTAGTTACTATTAGAATTATGGTACATGTTGATACTATGTATATGGTATGTGTGTTACATGGCTGTAGTTTATTTAACGCTATTGGGTAAGTAAAGTCAGATAGATGTGATTTTATTTTCATTTAAGTCATTAGATTATAATTATTCTGGTTTAAAAAATATCTCAATACAGATTAATTATAATTTTAATAATATCTTTTACATTTTTTGAGCATCCGACTTGAAAATATTTTTGACAAAACTAAATTTATGAAAGGCGAGACAGTAATGAATAAAGAATTTCTATTAAGAGAAGAACATGAAGATTATTGCGAGATGATTGCATGCTTGAAAAAACATCAACTTGCAATAAAGTTTGTATAATCGAAAATTTTATTATAAATGATCATTTTTATGAATAATGTTCCATTATGATTATCATGTATTTTACATAAACGATTTCTATTTAATAATTTTTTTGCAATCTTTCAGATACACTCGTATACTAGACTCTACGTTTAGAAGTGCGACTTTTCTCATTTTGTTTTTGAATGTATTGATTTTGAGTCTAATTGGATTACAAGTAAATTACGACAAAAATCAAATATATATTACTTTATTCCATCAAGACATTCTCATTGATATAAAAAAACATAAAATCATAAAACGAGAAATTGAAATAAATACAAAATTATGAAACTCATATATCTTCCAGCTTATTAACAAATTAGGACAAACTCAAGAAGTGATAAGATTTGGATGCATAGCTGTAGGATCGATCACTCATCTATTAAGCATATGTTTTCCTGGACAATTACTTCTGGACAGAAGTATAGACGTGTTTAATAAAGCGCAAGTATCCAAGTCATGCTTTCATTTAAATTACATTAATTACTATAAATTAATTATTATTCCGAAACAACATTGTATGATCGATTGAACGAATATACAGGGTGTCAGGAAATATTTTGCAGGCTCGAAGTGTAAAGGTAGATTGGTTCAAATTAAGCAGGAAGGTCCTATATTATTTTGCGATATTCGCAAAAATTAATGAAAAATTAATTAAAGAAGATCGCCCAATGCGCGCGGCGAAGAGCCTTCTTTAATTGGCCGATCTTCTTTAATTAATTTTTCGTTAATTATTGCGAATATCGCAAAATAATATAGGACCTTCCTTCTTAATTTGAACCAATCTATCTTCACATTTCGGGGCTGCGGAAAATTTTCTGACACCCTATATAATTTCATCTATGCAATAGCTAATTCTATTGTACAAAATATTTTTATCATGTAGATATAGTGCACAATGGTACATGTTCTCGTTAAAAACAAGAAAGTTATTGAGTATACTCCTATATAGAAGTTTGGTACCTTGCACGTTGTCGGCTGCAAATATGTATGTCGATGACTACGTTTAGTTCGGTATGTATGTCTTTTTTAGAATACGCGTAACAGATCTCTTGTATAACATTCTTATAAAAAAAATTCTTATAATATTATCACAATTATTATAACAATTCTTAATATTAGTGCTTTCTTTTAAGGTGATGCAGACAGCCATGTCATATTTCACAACCTTTTTATCAGTCAACTAGACGTATAAACTTCCATAAAATAATCACGTTTATTTAGACTGTTAATTTTTATTATTATTATTATTATATATTATTATATTTATTATTATTATTATATTATTATATATCATTGTTATATATTTGAAATTGTTATAATAAATATTAACAAACACACATATTAATATTTATTATAACAATTTCAAATATATTCTATAACAATAATATATAATAATATATAATAATAATAAATTAGATTTATATGGAAACAAAAACTATTTAAGACGTTGATTGATATGATCTTATCGATTTCATTTAATCCATATGATTTTTAATCGTGCTTTTCGAAGATATGAATATGAAATAAATATTTTATTTCTAGTTTTCAGCCAATAAAAAACAGTATTTTTATAAATTCAACATATTAAGCGTTTTACATCTTTTCTGAACATATTTTGTAATATTTTTTTTATTCTCATACGCTGTGTGTCTTACATGCTTGCTAAAACAAAATTGTTTTCAGAATGTGAAAAAATTATAGGTGCAGGAAAAAATAGCAGTATTGCACTGGCAACGAAGTTACAAATTTTTTTTCAATGTTACAAAGTCATAGATTTCTTTGATAGGAAGTGTGTTATATATATCATGCATACACAATGTTTTTTAAAGAGACAAAGGACATTTGAAGTGTAAATCGATAGCATATATATAGTCGTGTATTCTGATATAAGACATGAAATAATCATGCTTAATATCATCAAAGCTTTAAGCCATACAGAAAAGACGGTGCTATTATAAATTTTACATATTCGTACGTTTCATATGTTTTGTGAATAAAATATATCGGAATATCTTTTATTGATATCACGCTTATATTATTCGTCTTAAAATGTGCTCGTCGAAACAAAGATTTAACGGAATATTAAAGTAACTATAGATCATATGACATTAGCACTACTCTACTAGTAAGTATTTATGAATTCCTATTCAGTGTAGTGAAGTCATGGATTTCTTTGACACACGTTATTTCAGAATTAATAAACTTTTCTTGTCTTTCATAGGTTTATGGCCATACCAAACGTCATTTATGAAAATTCTAACTCTGTCATTTGCCATATCCGGTGTTACAATAATGAGCTGGCCACAGGTGGATATTCTTAAGATAATAATATATATCGATCGTTAAAAAAATTTAAAAGAATAAATGTAAAAGAATAAATGTAAAAGAGAAATTTATTGTGAAAAAATAATAATCACAATAATAAAGAGGCATCACTTTTTGCATCACAGAAGCAATCTAGAGTACATGTTGTATTCAAGTATATGTGAAATATAATTAATATCACAAATGTATTATTTATTGTCAGATCGCATATTTGCTGAAACATTTGGACAATTTAGATCTAGATGGTGTCTTCGAGGTTATGCCAACCACATCTGGTGCATTAATATGCGCTGTGAAAATTATTAGCTTGACTCGTAATTCTGAAAAGGTATGTATGACAATTGCATCGAGCTTGTGAATTTGTTTTTGAATAAACATCGCTTCAGTTTAAGGTGCTTCTGCGACAGATATACGAGGATTGGCGTGATCTGCTAACGAACCAAGAAACGCAGATTTTAACGCGTTACGCCAATAATGCTCGAAAGTTTACATTAGTCTATTCAAGTACGAATTAAATATATGTCTGTGAATCAGAGTTGGCAAATTCCACATTTTTGGATAAAATCCATATTATTTGTAAAAATCCGTATTTTTCGGTTCAAAAATTGATCCTTTTCCTATTAAAAACGTTAACGAAATAAATAGAAAATCTTTTTATCGATATTCATTAATTGAAAATGTTATCTAATTCAAAGTGCTTTCTAATTTTTATCTAAAATAAAATCAAAATTAAGAAGCGACATGGAAAATAAATTAGTTTTTTATTACAAGATATTGAATAATAAATGCTAATTAGATATTGATGAAAATTTTTAATTCTATTATTATTACATTTTCTTATTAAATTAAAAATTAATATAAAATTTAATAACATTTATATCTTCAAAGTTTTTATTTTGAAAATTTCACATATTAATTTGAATTAAAGAAGATTAAGTTATTAAATTAATTTCAGTTTTTTAATATATAGTGATTGATATATTTTAATAATTGAAGCAAAAATAGCTTTTTGCATAAAGTTATATAAATATATTTTAGTGCTATATATTATTTTTATATAGTTTTTACCAGTTTTTACCAGTTTTACTGGATTTTTTCGATCTTTGCTATGAATATCGATTAAAAAATATTGTTAATAATATCAATTGAATTTTTCCTTTTGATAAAGAAAGAACAAAAATCTGTATTTTAATAGATATGTGCGAATTAAAGATAAAATAGGAATGCTAAAATGATAAAATTATGAATGAATAATCGTTAGCACATTAATAAATTTTAATTTATAACCGTGATTAAAATTTAATAGAACGTTTTGCTTTCTCATGTTTCTTTTTAAATAAATAAAAAAAATAGTAAAATATTATTCTTCATGATATGAATCGCTCTATCTTTGTCTAGTTTCCATAATAGGATTTGTATTTTGCTATGCCATGTTACCTCTCACCGCGCCTGTACTAGACATCATCTCGCCTCTAAATGAATCGAGACCGAAAAAAATGCCGCATGCAGCGGAGTTCTTCGTGAATCAAGACAAGTATTATTATGTGCTTTTGCTAAACACATATATGGGTTACATTGCATGCGTCTCGATCGCAGTGGCTGCCGATACTATATACGTTACTCTGGTAGAACATATTTGTGGAATGTATGACATACTGTGGTAATTTCAATTATAATATAGAATAATAGTGAATCTAATCATTATAATTACGAAATTAACGTCCAGAGAGTAAATTGTAAATTTAAATTATAGATTTTGTAATAAAAATAAATGAAAATATTTTTTTTCTTTAGTTATCGTCTGAAGAATTTAATAACACACGATGACCTAGAATGGATCCACGATAATCATGTATGCGGACATGACAAAATCGGTCAACGCATACGATGCTGCATTCAACTGCATGAAAAAATAAGATTGTTGGTGTGATAATATTTCAAGTATAACACATTTTGATTACGTATTTCCATTTAAATGTTTTCTCTAGACTTTTATTAACTTATATAGTAATACCTATCAATTTAGATTTATAGAGATGATGGAGTCCACGTTCGCGTTATTTCTCCTTTTCGATGTTGGATTAGGATTTATATTGCATACCTCATCGTGTGTAATGGTAATAATCCTTCTTTTAACTCTTTTCGGATCGCAATAAAAATATCCAAATATATTTTTCTCTATTGTTAATTAATGTCAAAAATTTTTGAAACATGTCAATAATATTTTTGTAGTTCGTAGTTCGTATGGGACGATCGTTTGAGATTTTGCGATACGTGGCTCTCGTGCTTCTACAAAGTTGCCGATTATTTTTCAACAGTTGGGCCGGGCAAGAAGTGACCGATCATAGCGCCGGAATTTCTATAGCAGCGTAAGTTATTTCGAGAGAGAGAGAGAGATCGCAAGTATATAATTTTTTTGTGAAAATGTCTGTTTTTATAGTTACAATGGAATGTGGTACAATGCACCCATAGAGGTGCAAAAATGTCTAATATTGTTGATCGCGAGAAGCCAGAAGCCTTCTCAAATAACGATCGCCAAATTATATGTCGTCAATCTGGAAAGTTTTAGTAAGGTAATGATGCAAAATTATTAACACGTAGAAACGTAAAAACTCGATTATTCCTACGTTTTATTGTACTGAAAATAATATTGTACAGAGGAAATACATATTTTTTAAGGTAATGAAAACATCAGTATCCTACTGCACGGTAATAATTTCGCTGCGCGAAATGTCTGTGTAAAAATAAGTAACACTTTATCAGATTTCAATCATACGTTCTCTCTCTTCTAATTTTGCAAACATCAAGAACTCAGGTGTTTGATGTATAATGGTGTATCTTGTATTTATTATATAAATTTAGATAGGTAAATAAATATTATATTTATATCATTATCTATTTTAATATCACGTCCTAAATTTAAATAACAATGGTATTATTGCAAAAACAGATCGTTTAATTTTTATGCAAGTGTTCGTTGTGCCCCATTATGTGTATTCACATTTCTCTATTATTTTTAATTACTTTATTCAATTAAAAAAAAATTTTGAAAGTTATATAATAGTTATGGCACATTCTATTCAATTTTTTAATTTTTTCTTAATTTACTTTATCGCTCTATGTTCGCACATACTTATTGGACACGTGTTTCATTACACGTATTATAATTTATTTTATTATCATTATTTGTACTAAAGTTATTATATAAATAATCCTAAGTAAGTTATAGTATATAAAAAGAGGATGGAATTTGTAATTCTTTAAAAATTTATTATTATTACATATTAACTATATATTAATTTATAATAATTCTTATTAATTATATTATTTATTATTATTATTCTTATTGATTATATAATTGTATTTCATTAATTATGTATTATTATGTCTTATTATTTAATAATGGTTTAAATAATAATAATAATAATGATAACAATAATAATAATAATAACAATAATAATAATAATAACAATATACAATATAATAATAATATAATAATAATAAATTATATTATCTATATTATATTATATTATCAAGAGATACGGTAGTATCTCTTGATAATATAATATAATAGTACGCCAGACATAATAATACGCCAAGTTTATGCGAAGCATTAGCATGGCACTCCGTGTATCTATACGCGAGTCGGACAGATGAGAGTAACTCAAATTATCGGATTTCAATAACGGATGAACGAATCGAATTCTTATTAGCGTTAATTTTGTAAGGTTCTTTTTGAGGGGTAAATATTTACATGTAATTTATACGTTACCATTTAAAGAACATGAGGTTATTTAGAGTAGAAATGTATCTTCTTCGATATCCGACACTTGATTTGATGCATTCATCTGCACATAAAAATAAATACATTAATAAAAAAATTTCTTTGATATACAATAAAATTATATATTATACATTTTGATTATTTATTAAAGTAGAGAAGCCTTGTATTTTCAAGAAATATTGAATCTTGATATTGATAATATCAAAAAATAAATAATTGCAAATTTCAATGTCATATATAATCGACAGCAATGAATTATAGCAATATACATATACGATCGCCCTTTCATCTGTTGAGACTATAATTAATGTATAAATCGCGTGTCACGCGAAACTAAACACGTCGTCATTTTTTATTTTATTGATAATATGAAATTAAAATTGTAACATTCTTTCCGCGTATTCTTCAACTATAGGGAATATCCATCCTATTAGCGATTCTATTTAAATCGGAGTTTAACATATAACGTATAACGCTTCTTTGCTAATACAACGTATCGATGTTCCAAGAGAATACGAAATGAGCCGCAGACACGGAAACTTTTCTTTGGCGACGAGTTATTAAAAAATTCTTCTTTAACCATTATAGGCTATGGATGCCTTTGACACTAGATATTTTCGTATTAACAAGCTATTGCTATCACATGTCGGCTTATGGCCGCATAAATCGTCGTCTAACAAGAACATAATTCTCTATTGTACAATAGTTGGTATATTGACTTTAGCGTTGCCGCAGGTAAACACAAATTAATATATTTTAACTAGGGACTCGTAAAAGAACTAAATGATATATCTCCAGTGTAAGTTTGTTGCAATTTTTATTTTAATTTTTACCGTTCGAATTTTTCCTCGAAATTATATCGAATATTATACAACTATCTTCAAATATATTACGCGGTGCTTTATCAACAGATCGCATATTTGTTCAAACATGCGACAAGTGTGAACGACTTTTACGATGTGCTACCACCTCTTAGTGGCGCATGTATATGTCTCATGAAATTGATTAGTTTGTTTCATAACTTTAACAAAGTAAGAGCATAAATCCACCCATATCGACTAGAGAATCAGTCCCCATTCTCATTATCATATCTTCAGTTTAGAACGCTTATTCAACATGTGCAATACGACTGGCGTCTATTAGAGAATCACGAGAATTTCCGAATTCTAATGGAATACCTCGAGAGGAGTCGAATGTTCACAATGTCCTATTTAAGTATATCATAATAATCTGATTGTTTCTTCGAGCAATCATGCGAAAAGAAATAATTTTATTTCCAGTTTTTATCAGCACGACAGCGACTAGTTATATCACAGCACCGCTTACGGTACCGATGCTCGATATTATTCTGGCGACGAACGTGACGAGACCAAAAAAACTGCCGCATTCGGGCGAATTCTTCGTGGATCTAGAAAAGTATTATTATATTCTCTTCGCGATCACGTGCCTAGGATATTATGTATCCTGCACGTCGGTGATCGCGATCGATACTATTTATTTTGCATTATTGCAACATAGCTGTGGTATGTTGGCCGTATTAAGGTAAGTAAAATGTAAAACGCTAAATTGATTTTATTTATACAGGGTGTCTGAAAACTTTTTGCAATTCCGAAGTGTGATTGGCTCAAATTAAGAAGAAAGGTCCTCTACCGTATTGCGAATATCGTAAAACACTAGAGGACCTTCTTTCTTAATTTGAGCAAATCTACCTTCACACTTCGAGATTGCGAAAAGTTTTCAAACATCCTATATAAGAGAAAACACATACACATGTATTTGCAGTCATCGTTTGGAAAATTGCATTATAAACAATAAATCGAATCGCGTTGATTGTAATGGCATATCTAAGTGGGATAAAGACGTTGAAAATATAATACAATGCATACAGCTACAAGTCAGAATAGAAAGGTTCATATAAATTCACGAGGAGTATTGAAGTTTATTGAAAATTTTTTGTATAATAAAAATATTACTACTTTTTTATCTGTTATTAATAGATTGATCCAATTAATTGAGTCAACGTTTGCAACGTGTCTTATTATCGATATAGGTTTAGGAATTATATATCAATGTACCGCGTGCGTGATGGTAATAAATATGTAATTTATTTAATAAATTATTGCTTCATATTAAAATATTGCAACATAAAGTATTCTTTCATTCGTTAGTTTAAACTTGATTTAAAACCATAAATTGCATAATTTATTGTGCAGATCGTAACTCATACGAATACTATGGAGATAATGAGATACGGTCAACTTTTGCTCCTTCAAAATTCTCGATTTTTTTTAAATAGCTGGATAGGACAGGAAATAATAGATCACAGTTCTCAGATTCCTATCGCAGCGTAAGTTGTCAATTTAATGAATTAATAATATTTTATGATATACTTAACAACTAATGATATATTTTCAGATATAATGGAATGTGGTACCAAACATCCCTGAAAGTAAAGAAAATTTTTTTGTTTCTACTAATGAAATCTCAAAAGCCGTATCGCATAACTATGGCCAAATTATATGTAATCAGTTTGGAAGGTTACACTATGGTATGTCGAAATTTAATGTATATAATATATATAATATGTATAATATATATAATGTAAATAATATTTAAATATAATTCCATTCATATAATAAGTTTTGAATAATCTTTCTCTATTATACGATTTAAAATATATATATACACAAGAAACTAAACTAATCTTTAAAAACTTATCTTTATAATTTTATAAACTTATGTATATAATAATGTTCTTATTTAACGTTGTGTTACGTTTTTAAGCTCATGAAAACATCTGTCTCCTATATTACGTTAATGGTATCATTAAATTCGGATGACATATAATCGTCTACCATCTGGAATTTTGCGATTTATGCGTTAAATATAGAAAAAAATTGTGAATAAATATTTCGATGAATAAACATCTTATAAAATATAATTGTCAAATTTTAATTTTATAGTAGCTTTAATTTTCTAATATTCTGAATTTTTGTGCATAAAGAAATGTGATTTCTATAAATTTTAATTTAATTAATACATAATTATTTCAATATAGCTTTTAATTATTGATAGAAAATTGATTAAAGATCTAAATATATCACTATATATATATATATATATATATATATATATATATATAATTTATATAATTAAATAAATACATTACTTAAAATTAGTATCACGTTATCATGTAATCCAAGCGCTTAAGGCATACATTTTATCAAAAGATAAAAGACAAGCGAATAGACTTTATCGTATATTATAATATATTTGGTACCGCAATAATATATTTTGTAAACAAGTAGAAACAAAAAGTTTAATTAAAATTACTCGAATTATTTTTGTAATCTTAATTCACATTTTAAAATAATGTTAGATTCTATATTATTCAAAATATTTTTCATGTGCTAACATATTTACTAAATTTAATAATTTTTAAAAGATAAATATTAAGAAGCCTTAAAATAAAATGTTATACAAATTAATCAAAAGATAAATAAAGTCCATGTTCTCTGTAGATAACTAGATATCTAACTTTTGATAAAGATGATTAATCTGATTAACTATTAATGGATTAGTTTTAATCGTTTTACGAATATAAATTCAGATGTATATAAATTTAAATATAATAAAGTTAAAACGTTATTCTAAGTACATATTTCTTGAAGCCTTCTTTGTTTCATAGTTTTACAAATTTTATTTTATTAGTAAAACGATAGACGCGCAAATAACATCCACAGCAGATATATCTCAACAAATCGATCATAAGAAGTAATATGCACAAAGAAAAACGCAGCTCATTACTCGTAAATATATGATGCTCCATCTCGCGTAGATTATCACGTATTTGAACGTCACCCCTTCTCTAATTCCGTGTTCAGTTCTGTTTTCTTTTTGAATATATTTTAAAATGAATAAACGTGTCAGAGAGTTTTCTTCTTTTGAACATATTTCAAAGCGAATAACCGATAAGTTACGGTTAGACGTAAATATCCAACAAGTTACCCGATTTTTTTCTGACATTTTTGCTGTAGTCTAATAATGCAAAATGTCTTTCTACGACAATCGCTACTATTACCTCAATAAAACATTCCTGTCCATTATCGGCCAATGGCCATTTCAATCGCGACTGGAGGGTAACGTGATGCTCGCCATTGCAATATTGTTCATTTGCAGTTTGACAGCTTTAGAGGTGTCAGAAGTGTATCATGATATATATAATAGCGATAAGAATTCGAACTGAGACTGATTGTCTTCTCCTACGCTGTAGTTATTGGGCCTGATAGCCGGAATAACGAATTTGAACATCGTCATGGAGAACTCATCGCCGTTATTCATCAACAGCCTTATCATCGTAAAGCTAATCAACTCTCTCTGTAATAAGCATAAAGTTTGTATGTTATATTTTGCCGCGCAAAGTTAATCGAGCCGTTCTGCAATTATAAATCGAACGATTTCTTCGAGCTACAGATGAAAGATCTTCTAGAGAATATCGAAGAGATTTGGAAGATGAGACCAATCGGGCCAGAAAGTAAAATATTACGGAATTATGCGGAGCAAAACAGAATATTTACGATACAATATGCAGGTAAGTGTAATTTGAATCTTATAAATACTAAGAATTTTTGTCGTATCATACTGAATAACATATAGAAATTATATATTGTTTCTTAATATCACCACTTTTATTGAGTGATTTTTCAGCTGAAATATTATAAATATTTTTTTCTTTGTTTTACTTTATTTTACATTAAATTATTTTATTATTTATTTTATATTAAATTATTTTATATGTTTCGGGATTATTTAACCTTTTATTTTGAATTAAATAATATTGTCTCTATTAAATTGTCTCCCTTGTTTCTATTAAATTAAAGTAACATGGAAAGAAATTTATAGAAAAAGAGGAATAATTCATTTCAGTTGCTCTTTTATCTTCGGGGATTTTTTATTCCACGATGCCGATCGTCGTAAGTGGAATATATTCTTTTTTACCAACGAATGAAAACTACACGGCCAGATTTTTATATCGCTTGGAACATGTTCTCGACGTGGACAAGTATTTCAATCTCCTGATGCTTCATGGGATTATTAGTATATTTTATATAGTGTCGGTACCGATAGCTATCGATTGCATGTTTATTCTATGCATTCAACATGTCTGTGCATTGTTTGAGGGTATAAAGTAAGTCCGAAACTCTTTGCTTAAAAATATAATGTGTCGAAAGAATTTCTGACCGAGTAATATTCTCACGAAATAGGTACAAGATAAATCGTATACGAGACTTCGATTTTGTGATACTCAAGCCAAATATGGCGGATGATGAAGCATATCATGTCATAATTGATTGCATAAAATCATATAAACATGCCTTAAAGTTAATGCTCCTAGTGTTTTTAGATATAGACATCTTTAACTTAAGAGATAGAACTTATAAAGAATATTATAAGACTTTTATATATATAATTTACTAATTATTTTATATGATTTTTATATAACTTACAGCTTCCTGCGATAAATTAAGCATTTTTAAGATACTTTTGAGATATTTTTAAGATCTTTTTATTGTTTCTTTTCTTTTTATTTTAAATTAAACAAATGACAATTATGAAATACTTTTTAAATTATCCAATACATTTATTTTATTGTTTTACAGATTTTCAGATCTGCTCTCATCCGCTTACGCAACATCATTTTTCTTTTTATTAGGAATTGTAACCTTAAGCTTAAGCTTCAATGCGGCTGAGGTAAATATTCAATAAATTTGAAAACTTTAAACAATATTGGCTGTTTTATTTGGGATATATATATATATATATATATATATATATATGTGTAACAAATAATATTTAAGTTGATAATGGTAGATAATCAGTTAGATGAAACTATCAGAATTGTTTCTGCTATTATGGGACTATTGACACATATATTTTACTTAAGTTTGACGTCTCAACGATTAATCGATCACAGCAGCGAACTACAAGAAGCAATGTATGCATAAGTTGATCACTAATATTAAGAATATTGAATATTAAGAATATTGAAACAAAGTGACTATTTTTTAAATTATTCAAAAAAATTGAAAAAAAATAAATGCAAACATAGAAATATTTTGCAATAATAGAAATGTGTGAAAATAGAAACATTTTACAATATTTTATAATTATATTCATGTATCTATCTGTCTATAATATATCTAATAAATACTTCAACGTATTTAAATTTACGATTTATAAATTAATATCATTATTTGAGCGAATGAGGAATAAAAGATAAATTAATGTATCAAATTTATGGATTAACAGTTATAGCTGTGAGTGGTATAAAATTTCATTAAGATCCAGACAACTGTTGAAATTCACGTTAATGCGAGCTACTAAACCATGTCAAATAAAAGCTAAGATGTATGTAATGTCACTGGAAAACTTTAGTTCGGTACGTACATATTATTATAATCATATCATATTTTAGTGTTAAAATGCAAAATCTTTTTCATATTATTTTCAGATACTACAAGTTTCCATGTCTTACTTTACCATGCTCACATCTATACAATAATAATCGTTTGAAGTAATATAATATAATATGGAAATATATTAAAGATATTGATTGCAAGGTTAATTATTTAATATAATGGATAACTTAGCACTGGTATAATGCACAATATATTATAATACATTATTAAAAAAATATTAAATTTTAAATTGATGTTCGTTTCTACTTTTATACAAAGTGTGATTTTAATACAATGAATGATAAATACACATGTATCTCATTATCTTGCTGTCATAATTATTAATAATTGGCGTAATTATATACAATAACAACCATAAATAATAAAAGATTAATAAACATAAAAAAGCGCATCTTTATCAAATACATTAAATCAATAAAATGAAACTAATATTTATTTATTAAAGTGGATTTTAATAGACACAATACAATTTTTATTTAACATCATTATTTATTGTACTGATGCTCGATGTTATATTGATGTCAATACTGTGTGTGTTTAAATGAAATAGAAAAGATTCACCATACTCGAAAGTCCTTTTTGGATCTAAAAAATTAGATATATTCCACTAGTATTATGTTATTCCACTTAGTATTTATTTAAATTCGTGAAATTTGTTTCAAATTCATTTAAATTCATTTACATAACATATAGAATAAAGATTAAAAGAAAAAAGAACAATTTAAATCATTATATAAAATTTATATAATTATATAAATTTATTTAAATCTTTTTAATATATACACACGTATATACATATCTTCAGCCTCTCGTAATTTTCATTTTTTTTATTAATTTACAGACATGCATACTTGGGGATGGCTTCACAGTTGCCTACATTCCCGATTGCCAATTGCTTCGTTTGCGCACATCATTTTGCCGACAGCTTCGTTTGCCAACATTCCCAATTGTCTACATCTAGATTGCCTACATGTATTGTTGCATACGCGAAAAAAAAAAGAAACGAAAATACGATTGCATACATGACATTATTGCGCACATACATATTGCACACACGACTTTATTGCACACATGCACATTGCACACATAAATTATTGCGCACATACATATCGCACCCATAATATTATTGTACATATACATATTGCACACATAAAGTGCAAAAACGTTTATTTTTCTTATTTTAATTTTAATTATTTTTTTAATAAATATTTAAAATTGCCATTTAGAAAGAAATATTAGAATTCAAAAATATTTTAGACTTAGGACTATACTTTGAAATAGAAACAAATCTTACTTCTTGTGAAAATCAATAACCTATGTGAAATAAAACAATTATAGATCTTGTTTCGGGCCGTAAACATAGGGGATGTGGGGTAGACCTCGCTTCGCGTGAAAGTCGAAAACCTATGTGAAACAGAAGAATTATAAACCTCATTTCAGACCGCACTAGATTCCAAGTGACCCACTCAGTTCTCCAAAGAATCGAGAATCTTGTGCTTACATACACAATCGAAAAATTCAACATAATATAAATAACATAGTATAAAAATAAAATTTGAATACCTTACGAACAAAATGTTTCTGCCCATTCGCATTTGTGGCATTCGACTTCATTTAATACGTATTATATAAAATACGTCTATAAAAATTGATCAAATTCGGGTCGCATACGAAAATCTTACCCAAAACATCTAATAATATTTTTATTTTTTACATGAAGTAATATCATGTGTGCAATATGTGCACAATAATGTCATGTGTGTAATCTGTATGTGTGCAATAATTTCATGTGTGCAATGAACATGTGTGTAATAAAGTCATGTGTGGAAAGTGTTAATATAATTTTCTTATTTTATGTGTGTAATAATGTCATGTGTGCAATGTGAATGTGAACAATAATGTCATGTGTGTAATAATACTTTTGTTTCTTTATTTTTTTGTGCAATAATACATGTAGGTAATCGGGAATATTGGCAAAAGAAGTTGTCGGCAAAATGTTGTGCGCAAACGATGCAGTTGTTGCCAATCGGGAATATAGGCAAAAGAGACTCCCCCGATAGATAACATAAGTTTTACCATATGCAGTTATAATTGTAGTCATGTAATACAAAAATTGAAATAAGGAAATAAATTGCCGCAAAAGTTTATGTTAATTTGTGTTTTAACTGTAAATTAAATTTTAAAAAATATTACAGCACTTTGTTAAATTTATTTTTCATTTGTATGCAAAACAATTCATATATATGTATATAACTTAATCAACTGATATACATTTTTCAAAATTAATTAATTTTTACTGAGAAATTAATTAAAATTATATTAATAAGGTTTAAATAAAATTTAATATTTTTTAAGAAATATATAATATTTTCTTGTTTCTTTTTTTCTTTCTCTTTTCTGCAAATAATATCTATCCCCTAAAAAAAACCTTAGAAAGGTAAAAAAATACACCAAGTACATAAAAAAATCATATTTAAAAACCGATATGAGATCAATACTACGAGCCAAGTACAATAAATTATGTGATATTAATTCGTAATCGATACTACATGATTTAAAATTTCTTTAATTTTTGAAGCATTTTTTACATGATGTATATAATTTAAAAATGCTTTACACAAATTCTAAATCGCATAAATGATCTTCAGGTCGAAGTAAGATATGAAAACTTGGCTTAAGTTTCTACAAAGCATTTTTGCACACTAAAGCGAATAATCATATATGCGCGGTATGAACGCAGCTTGAAGAACAAAATCGCTTTGAATGTGTGCGTGCAAAGATATGTTCATGAATCTAAATCTGAATCTTATGATGGAGAAAAACGAAAAATGTCACATTTCTGGCATGCAGTTATCATTTCTCGAGATTGACTGCAACGATTTTATTCAAACTGGTCGCAATCAAAAGCTTGTACATATTCACATTATATTAGAAAAATGCCGTTAGATTCTTTATTACGGCTTTCGTTTCTGAAATATTTTAATTGAAAGTTTATTTGACGTAAAATTCCGGATAAGCTACTTGGTAGCGCCGCGTCGAGGACAGCGACTCTCAATGCTCGAATTTAGTTCTTTTTCAGTTTTTTATGCACTTGACATCGCGACGCTACCGCGTCGCTTGATCGCCGTTTCATCTGTTGAGACTATAGTTAATGTATAAATCGCATATCACGCGAAACTAAACACGTCGTCATTTTTTATTTTATTGATAATATGAAATTAAAATTGTAACATTCTTTCCGCGTATTCTTCAACTATAGGGAATATCCATCCTATTAGCGATTCTATTTAAATCGGAGTTTAACATATAACGTATAACGCTTCTTTGCTAATACAACGTATCGATGTTCCAAGAGAATACGAAATGAGCCGCAGACACGGAAACTTTTCATTGGCGACGAGTTATTAAAAAATTCCTCTTTAACCACCATAGGCTATCAATGGATGCCTTTGACACTAGATATTTTCGTATTAACAAGCTATTGCTGTCACATGTCGGCTCGTGTGGCCGCATAAATCGTCATCTAACAAGAACATAATTCTCTATTGTACAATAGCCGGTATATTGGACTTTAGCGTTGCCGCAGGTAAAAACACAAATTAATATATTTTAACTAGGGACTCGTAAAAGAACTAAATAATATATCTCCAGTGTAAGTTTCTTGCAATTTTTATTTCAATTTTTACCGTTCAAATTTTTCCTCGAAATTATATCGAAAATTATACAACTATCTTCAAATATATTACACGGTGCTTTATCAACAGATCGCATATTTGTTCAAACATGCGACAAGTGTGAACGACTTTTACGATGTGCTATCACCTCTTAGTGGCGCATGTACATGTCTTATGAAAGTGAGTTAGTTTGTTTCATAACTTTAACAAAGTAAGAGCGTAAATCCACCCATATCGACTAGAGAATCAGTCCCCATTCTCATTATCATATCTTCAGTTTAGAATGCTTATTCAACATGTGCAATACGACTGGCGTCTATTAGAGAATCACGAAAATTTCCGAATTCTAATGGAATACCTCGAGAGGAGTCGAATGTTCACAATGACCTATTTAAATATATCATAATAATCTGATTGTTTTTTCGAGCAATCAGATCGAGCAATTCCAGCTTTTATCAGCACGACAGCGACTAGTTATATCACAGCACCGCTTACGGTACCGATGCTCGACATTATCCTGGCGTTGAACGTGACGAGACCAAAAGAACTGCCGCATTCGGGCGAATTCTTCGTGGATCTAGTATTATTATATTCTCTTCGCGATCACGTGCCTAGGATATTATGTATCCTGCACGTCGGTGATCGCGATCGATACTATTTATTTTGCATTATTGCAACATAGCTGGTATGTTGGCAGTATTAAGGTAAGTAAAATGTAAAACGCTGAATTGATTTTATTTATACAGGGTGTCTGAAAACTTTTTGCAATTCCGAAGTGTGAAGGTAGATTGGCTCAAATTAAGAAGGAAGGTTCTCTACCGTATTGCGAATATCGTAAAACACTAGAGGACCTTTCTTCTTAATTTGTGCCAATCACACTTCACACTTCGGGACTGCGAAAAGTTTTCAAACACCCTATATAAAAGAAAACACATACACATGTATTTGCAGTCATCGTTTGGAAAATTGCATTATAAACAATAAATCGAATCGCGTCGATTGTAATGGCATATCTAAGTGGGATAAAGACGTTGAAAATATAATACAATGCATACAGCTACAAATCAGAATAGAAAGGTTCATATAAATTCACGAGGAGTATTGAATTTTATTGAAAATTTTTTATATAATAAAAATATTACTACTTTTTTATCTGTTATTAACAGATTAATCCAATTAATTGAGTCAACGTTTGCAATGTGTCTTATTCTCGATATTGGTTTAGGAGTTATATTTCAATGTACCGCGCGCGTGATGGTAATAAATATGTTGTAATTTACTTAATAAATTATTGCTTCATATTAAAATATTGCAACATAAAGTATTCTTTCATTCGGTAGTTTAAACTTGATTTAAAACCATAGATCGCATAATTTATGCATTATTGTGCAAATCGTAACTCATACGAATACTATGGAGATAATGAGATACGGTCAACTTTTGCTGCTTCAAAATTCTCGATTTTTTTTAAATAACTGGATAGGACAAGAAATAATAAATCACAGTTCTCAGATTCCTATCGCAGCATAAGTTGTCAATTTAATGAATTAATAATATTTTATGATATACTTAACAACTAATAATATATTTCCAGATATAATGGAATGTGGTATCAAACATCCCTAAAAGTAAAAAAAATGTTCTTGTATTTACTAATGAAATCTCAAAAACCGTATCGCATAATTATGCTCAAATTATATGTATCAGTTTGGAAGATTACACTATGGTATGTCGAAATTTAATATATATAAATAATATTGAACTATGTGCCATTCATATAATAAGTTTTGAATAATCTTTCTCTATTATAAGATTTAAAATATATATACACAAAAAACTAAACTAATCTTTAAAAACTTATCTTTATAATTTTATAAACTTATGTATATAATAATGTTCTTATTTAACGTTGTGTTACGTTTTTAAGCTCATGAAAACATCTGTCTCCTATATTACGTTAATGGTATCATTAAATTCGGATGACATATAATCGTCTACCATCTGGAATTTTGCGATTTATGCGTTAAATATAGAAAAAAATTGTGAATAAATATTTCGATGAATAAACATCTTATAAAATATAATTGTCAAATTTTAATTTTATAGTAGCTTTAATTTTCTAATATTCTGAATTTTTGTGCATAAAGAAATATGATTTCTATAAATTTTAATTTAATTAATACATAATCTTTTCAATATACTTTTTAATTATTGATAGAAAATTGATTACAGATCTAAATATATCACGTACTATATATATAATTTATATAATTAAATAAATATTTACTTAAAACTAGTATCACGTCATCATGTAATCCAGACAAGCGCTTAAGGCATACATTTTATCAAAAAGTAAAAGACAAGCGAATAGATTTTATCGTATATTATAATATATTTTGTACCGCAATAATATATTTTGTAAACAAGTAGAAACAAAAAGTTTAATTAAAATTATTCGAATTATTTTCGTAATCTTAATTCACATTTTAAAATAATGTTACATTCTATATTATTCAAAATATTTTTCATGTGCTAACATACTTTATTTAATAATTTTTAAAAGATAAATATTAAAAAGCCTTAAAATAAAATGTTATACAAATTATTCAAAAGATAAATAAAGTCCATGTTCTTTGTAGATAACTAGTATAGATATCTAATTTTTGATAGGGATGATGAATCTGATTAACCATTAATGGATTAGTTTTAATCGTTTTACGAATATAAATTCAAATGTATATAAATTTAAATATAATTAAGTTAAAACGTTATTCTAGCACATATTTCTTGAAGCCTTCTTTGTTTCATAATTTTACAAATTTTATTTTATTAGTAAAACGATAGATATGCAAATAATATCCACAGCAGATATATCTCAACAAATCAATCATAAGAAGCATTATGCACAAAGAAAAACGCAGCTCATTACTCGTAAATATATGATGCTCCATCTCGCTTAGATTACTATGTATTTGAACGTTACCCGTTTTCTAGTTCCATGTTCAGTTCCGTTTTCTTTTTGAATATATTTCAAAGTGAATAAACGTGTCAGAGAGTTTTCTTCTTTTGAACATATTTCAAAGTGAATAAACGACAAGTTACGGTTAGATGTAAATATCCAACAAATTACCCGATTTGTTTCTAACATTTTTGCTGTAGTCTAATAATGTAAAATGTCTTTCTACAACAATCGCTACTATTATCTCAATAAAACATTCCTATCCATTATCGGCCAATGGCCATTTCAATCGCGACTGGAGGGTAACGTGCTGCTCGCCATTACAATATTGTTCATTTGCAGTTTGACAACTTTAGAGGTGTCAGAAGTGTATCATGATATATATAATAGCGATAAGAATTCGAACTGAGACTGATTGTCTTCTCATATGCTGTAGTTATTGGGCCTGATAGCCGGAATAACGAATTTGAACATTGTCATGGAGAACTCATCGCCGTTATTCATCAACAGCCTTATCTTCGTAAAGCTAATCAACTCTCTCTGTAATAAGCATAAAGTTCGTATGTTACATTTTGCCACGCAAAGTTAATCGAGCCGTTCTGCGATTATAAATCGAACGATTTCTTCGAGCTACAGATGAAGGATCTTCTGGAGAATATCGAAGAGACTTGGAAGATGACACCAATCGGACCAGAAAGTAAAATATTACGGAATTATGCGGAGCAAAACAGAATATTTACGATACAATATGCAGGTAAGTGTAATTTGAATCTTATAAATACTAAGAATTTTTGTGGTATTATACTAAATAACATGTAGGAATTATATATTATTTCTTAATATCACCGCTTTTATTGAATGATTTTTCAACTGAAATATTATAAATATTTTTTTTTTCTTTTACTTTATTTTATATTATTTATTTTATATTAAATTTATATGTTATATCATCTATTTCATATTAAATTATTTTATATTATTTATTTTATATTAAATTATTTTATATTATTTATTTTATAATAAATTATGTTATATCATTTATTTTATATTAAATTATTTTATATTATTTATTTTATATTAAATTATTTTATACTATTTATTTTATATTAATTTACTTTATATTATTTATTTTATATTTACCCGTAATAACCACACCTCTATCGAGCATACATATCAACCACACTAGTGCGATTAGGGATTTTTTCAAAGTGCTATAACTCTCGTATGAATAATCCAAAAGTATTTGATAATCAGAGTTTCTTGGGATAAAAAATCCCCAGGAATCCAATAGTAATAGTTTCGAATGCGAAAAATAATATCGATATAGTAAAAATACGTCAAAATAAAAACAAAAATTTTCAAAAATCGTTTTTTCGTAAAAAAAATCGCCATTTCTTTTCTATTCGACGGAAATGATTTTTTTTTAAATTAAAGTTAAAATGTACTTTGAGGAAAAAATATTGTATAAACATTATAAATTGAGGATTTTTTAAGGGTGTTTAAACATATGGTATATTTGAAAGATGAAAAAATCAGTAAATGGTTGGTTTATGATGACAAAAAGTATTTATTTTGTTCAAAAAAGTACAAAAATCGAAATATTTTGGTTTGCTTGTATGTCTTAATCTACATTGTTAGCGTAATCAATCAAAGTCCGCATCTATGATCGTCGCAAATGCGGCGGAGGCAATTGTTGCGCGTATGGCCTTTTCTCTCATTGTCGCAAAGACCGCATTTTGAGCGACTTTCCTCACGAATAATACCTTTGGTAACAACTCCTAGCCCATCGATTTTCAACATTTTGCAAATTAGTTCTCTCGTTGTCAAACGTAACATTGGGCACTGTAAACGGTTAACTGTAAATTAAATTATTTTATATGTTTCGGGAATATGTAACCTTTTGTTTTGAATTAAATAATATTGTCTCTATTAAATTGTCTTCCTTGTCTCTATTAAATTAAAGTAACATGAAAAGAAATTTGTAGAAAAAGAGGAATAATTCATTTCAGCTGCTCTTTTATCTTCGGCAATCTTTTATTCCACGATGCCGATCGTCGTAAATGGAATATACTCGTTTTTACCAACGAATGAAAACTACACGGCCAGATTTTTATATCGCTTGGAACATGTTCTCGACGTGGACAAGTATTTCAATCTCCTGATGCTTCATGGGATTATTAGTATATTTTATATAGCGTATGTACCGATAGCTACCGATTGCATGTTTATTCTATGCATTCAACATGTCTGTGCATTATTTGAGGGTATAAAGCAAGTCCGAGACTTTTTGCTTAAAAATATAATGTGTCGAAAGAATTTCTGATCGAGTAATATTCTCACGAAATAGGTACAAGATAAATCGTATACGAAGCTCCGATTTTGTGATACTCAAGCCAAATATAGAGGATGATGAAGCATATCATGTCATAATTGATTGCATAAAATCGTATAAACATGCCTTAAAGTTAGTGCTTCTAGTGTTTTTAGATATAGACATCTTTAACTTCAGAGATAGAATTTATAAAGATTATTGTATGACTATTATATATATGATTTACTGATTATTTTATATGATTTTTATATGTATATCTTACAGTTTCCTGCGATAAATTAAGCATTTTTAAGATACTTTTAAGATATTTTTAAGATCTTTTTATTGTTTCTTTTCTTTTTATTTTAAGTTAAACAAATGACAATTATGAAATACTTTTTAAATTATCCAATACATTTATTTTATTGTTTTACAGATTTTCAGATCTGCTCTCATCCGTTTACGCAACATCTTTTTTCTTTTTATTAGGAATTGCAATCTTAAGCTTAAGCTTCAATGCGGCTGAGGTAAATATTCAATAAAATTGAAAGCTTTAAATACTGGCCATTTTATTATATATATATATATATATATATATATATATATATATATATATATATACAGGGTGTTTCATTTTAATCCGACCACCTAAATTTCTCGGAACCTAAGCAAGATAGAGAAAAATGTTTTAGACAAAAGTTGTATGGTTTCAAGGGGGACATAAGATGTCATTAGTTTGATCTTGAAGAGCCACCTGAAGGACACGCGAAGGTCAGCTCCAACTTTTTAAATGGGACACCCTATATGCTTTTGCATATTCTTGTAGCTCATCTCAAGAGCTTTCCAAAACACTATAATTAAGTTAGTTTTCATTAAGTACTTTCCAAGTTATGAGGCTTGAAATCATTTTTTACTTTTACATAAACCGTAAAATATCTTGTAAAATATTCATTTTTCGATTATTTTACCTTAATACTTTTATGTACAAAATAATGAGAGGAATCAATTGGTGTAAAGAAAACTCATAGTTGTTTCGAAAAAAAATATGTAATTTGCAATTAACAATTACATATTTTTTTTTAAAAATAACTATGTCTTTTCTTTACACCAATTGATTCCTCTCATTATTTTGTACATAAAAGTATTAAGGTAAAATAATCGAAAAATGAATATTTTACAAGATATTTTACGGTTTATGTAAAATTAAAAAATGATTTCAAGCCTCATAACTTGGAAAGTACTTAATGAAAACTAACTTAATTATAGTGTTTTGGAAAGCTCTTGAGATGAGCTACAAGAATATGCAAAAGCATATAGGGTGTCCCATTTAAAAAGTTGGAGCTGACCTTCGCGTGTCCTTCAGGTGGCTCTTCAAGATCAAACTAATGACACCATCTTATGTCCCCCTTGAAACCATACAACTTTTGTCTAAAACATTTTTCTCTATCTTGCTTAGGTTCCGAGAAATTTAGGTGGTCGGATTAAAATGAAACACCCTGTATATATATATATATATATATATATATATATATATATATATATATAATAAAATGGCCAGTATTTATATATATATATATACATATATATATATATATATATATATATGTATATATATATATATGTGTAACAAATAACGTTTAAGTTGATAATGGTGAATAATCAGTTGGATGAAACTATCAGAATTGTTTCTGCTATTATGGGACTATTGACGCATATATTTTACTTGAGTTTGACGTCTCAACGATTGATTGATCACAGCAGCGAACTACAAGAAACAATGTATGCATAAGTTGATCACTAATATTAAGAATATTGAATATTAAGAATATTGAAACAAAGTGGCTATTTTTTAAATTATTTAAAAAGATTGAAAGTAAAGAAATGTGTAAAAATAGAAATATTTTGCAATAATAGAAATGTGTGAAAATAGAAACATTTTACATTATTTTATAATTATATTCATGTATCTATCTGTCTATTATAAATTATTCAACATATTTAAATTTACGATTTATAAATTAGTATCATTATTTGAGCGAATGAGGAATAAAAGATAAAATAATGTATTAAATTTATGGATTAACAGTTATAGCTGTGAGTGGTATAAAATTTCATTAAGATCCAGACAACTGTTGAGATTCACGTTAATGCGAGCTATTAAACCATGTGAAATAAAAGCTGAGATGTATGTAATGTCATTGGAAAACTTTAGTTCGGTACGTACATATTATTATAAATATATCATATTTTGGCGATAAAATGCAAAGTCTTTTTTACATTATTTTCAGATATTACAAGTTTCCATGTCTTACTTTACCATGCTCACGTCTACACAATAATAATCGTTTGAAATAATATAATATAATATGGAAATATATTAAAAATATTGATTGCAAGTTTAATTATTTAATATAATGGATAACTTAAGCACTGATATAATGCACAATATAATACATTATTAAAAAAATATTAAATTTTAAATTGATGTTCGTTTTTATTTTTATACAAAGTGTGATTTTAATACAATGAATGATAAATACACATGCATCTCATTATCTAACTGTCATAATTATTAGTAATTGGCATAATCATATACAATAACAACCATAAATAATAAAAGATTAATAAACTAAAAAAACGCATCTTTATCAAATACATTAAATCAATGTTATGCTATAAAACTAATATTTATTTATTAAAGTGGATTTTAATAGACAATATAATTTTTATTTAACATCATTACTAATTGTACTGATGCTCGATGTTATATTGATGTCAATCCTGTGTGTCTAAATGAAATATAAAAGATTCACCATACTCGAAAGTTCTTTTTGGATCTAAAAAATTAGATATATTCCACTAGTATCATGTTATTTATTTAAATTCATGAAATTTGTTTCAAATTTATTTAAATTTATTTACATAACATATAAGATAAAGATTATCAAAAGAAAAAAAAAACAATTTAAATTATTATATAAAATTTATATAATTATATAAATTTATTTAAATCTTTTTAATACACACACATATATACATATCTTCAGCAACTCATAATTTTCATTTTTTTTATTAATTTACAAACATGCATACTTGGGGAGGTCTTCAGTTGCCTACATTCCCGATTGCCAACTGCTTCGTTTGCGCACGACATTTTGCCGACAGCTTCTTTTGCCAACATTTCCGATTGCCTACATCTCGATCGCCTACATGTATTATTGCACACACGAAAAAAATTAAGAAATGAAAATACGATTGCAAACATGACATTATTGTTCACATGCACATTGCACACATGATATTATTGTAGACATGCATATTGCACACATAAAGTGCAGAAACGTTTATTTTTGATATTTTAATTTTAATTATCTTCTTAAATGAATATTTAAAATTTCCATTTAGAAAGAAATATTAGAATTCAAAAATATTTTGGACTTAGGACTATATTTTGAAATGGAAACGAATCTCGCTTCTTGTGAAAATCAATAACCTATGTGAAATAAAACAATTATCGATAAATCTTGCCCAAAGCATCTAATAATATTTTTATTTTTTACATGAAATAATATCATGTGTGCGATGTGCATGTGTACAATAATATAATGTGTGCAATGTGTATGTGCACAATAATGTCATGTGTGCATTCTGTATGAATGCAATAATTTCATGTGTGCAATGAGCAATAAAATCATGTGTGGAAAGTGTTAATATAATTTTCTTATTTTATGTGTACAATAATGTCATGTGTGCAATGTGCATGTGAACAATAATGTCATGTGTGTAATGTGTATGTGTGTAATAATACTTTCGTTTCTTTATTTTTTTGTGCGTGCAATAATACATGTAGGCAATCGGGAATATTGGCAAAAGAAGTTGTCGGCAAAATGTTGTGCGCAAACGATGCAGTTGTTTGTTGGCAATCGGAAATATAGGTAAAAGAGTCTCCCCCGATAGATAACATAAGTTTTACCATATGCAGTTATAATTGTAGTCATGTAATACAAAAATTGAAATAAGGAAATAAATTGCCGCAAAAGTTTATGTTAATTTATGCTTTAACTGTAAATTGAATTTAAAAAATATTACAGTACTTTGATAAATTTATTATGTTTCATTTGTACGCAAAACAATTCATATATACGTATATAACTTAATTAACTGATATATATTTTTCAAAATTAATTAACTTTTACTGAGAAATTAATTAAAATTATATTAACTTTATTTTAATAAGGTTTAAATAAAATTTAATATTTTCTAAGAAATATACAGGGTGACCCCGAACGTTCCAGCCAGTCTTTGAGATCTTATAAGAAAGAATTTAATTCTGAATAAAAAATTTCCTAAACATAGTTCGAAAAATGCTTCTTTAAGAAGTTATCGCTCAAAAACCTCTGATGAAGGAAGAGCAAAAGGGAAAGAAAATGAAATAAAAAGAAAATGAAACTAAATAAATTTCTTGAAATAAACGATAAAAATAAAAAATAAAAATCTTTTTCTTTTATGAAAATAAAATAATTTTTCTTTCTTTTTTTAACTAATATTTTAATAATAGCACGTAATAGTAGAAAATGAATAAAGACGTTTTTCAAGAAATTTATTTAGTTTCATTTTCTTTTTATTTCATTTTCTTTTCACTTTTTGCTTTTCCTTCATCAGATGTTTTTGAGCGATAACTTCTTAAGTAAATATTTTTCGACCCATGTTTATAGGAAATTTTTTGTTCAGAATTAAATTTCCTATAAGATCTCAAAGTTTGGCTGGAACGTTCGGGGCCACCCTGTATAATATTTTCTTGTTTCTTTTCTTCTTTCTCTTTCCTGCAAATAATATCTATAATGATACCCCAATGAACATAGTTAGCTAATTAATATTACAGAAAAATATTGCATTTAATAGAGAAAAAGTCTCAATAGTGCAAAGTTTCTTATGATGTTTAATCGTTTAAAAAGATAAGTACCAATTAGTTTTTTTATAGGTATAAGTAACAGTTCGACCTTAAACTACAAAGCTTGTACTTCTTTTACCATCTCTCATCTCACGTTCGTCTAAACTTTATCAATTTCGCTTATTTTATGAAGCAAGACAAATATAATTTCTTTTGCAATCACATGTTGCCGCACAAAGAGTTGCACGACTATGAGAAACGATTCATTACTCATACATATGTAATGCTCTTTTGTGCTTGAAAAAATGTACTCCATTTAATACTATTTTTGTTTTCGCAAAGTGCATGAACTTTTCTATATACATAAAGTTTAGAAAAAATAAATTTATAAAATCTTATTATTGATTTTATAAACTTAATAATATTTTACAAGCTATGAGAAGTTACATACATATATCTTCTTTCTATTTTTTTCCTCTTTCCTGCAAATAATATCTATAATGATACCGTAATGAATATAGTTACTTAATTAATGTTACAGAAAAATATTACATTTAAAATAGAAAAAAAGTTTGATTATAATAAATCCAGTAAAGAGAAGTTCAGGCGATATAAATCGCTATTAAAAAGTAAAGGCAATAGAATCAATAACACTGAAAATAGTACGTGAAAAAAATTATCAATTATATTACATAACAATTGGCGAGTGTAAATTTTATATAGTATAAAAAGTACATTATGTATTGGGTTGTCCGGAAAGTCCGTGCGGATTTTTAAGCAAAATTCGAATGAAAAAATTTTGTTGTTAAAAGTTATTTCATTCTGTGATATATGCACCATTATTTTGCACAATACTTTTCCATCTTTCGGGTAATTTCATAATTCCTCTCTCATAGAAGTCTTGGGTTTTTTCGGCGAAGAAGCTGTCCAAGTAGTTTTTGAGGAGTTGCAAAGAAGCAAAGTTCAAACCATTAATTGAGTTTTGTAGCGACCGAAATAAATGAAAATCCGAGGGTGCAATGTCGGGGGAATATGGTGGATGAGGCAAAACATCCCAGCCAAACGCCAATAATTTTTGGCGAGTCTGCAAACTTGCATGAGGTCTGGCGTTATCATGATGAAAAACGACGCCTTTCCTATTGATCAATTCCGGACACTTTTTGGCGATTTCTATCTTCAATTTATCCAACTGTGAACAGTACTTGTCCGAATCGATGGTTTCGTTGTCCGGTAGTAGCTCATAATATACTATCCCCTTCCAATTCCACCAAATGCAGAGCATTACCTTTTTCGGATGTAAGCCTGCCTTCGAAGTGGTTAATGGCGGTTCACCTCGCTTGCTCCACGACCTTTTACGCTCGACATTATTATAAATTATCCACTTTTCGTCGCCTGTTATGATGCGTTTTAAAAATGAATCGTATTCATTGCGTTTGTATAGCAAATCGCTGATGGAAATGCGGTCAATACGATTTTTCTCAGTTAAGTCGTGCGGCACCCAAACATCAAGCTTTTTTACCATCTGGAGCTTGTTTAAATGTTCGGAAACAGTTGATTTGCCAATGTTTAACCTCGCTGCGATTTCCCGAACTGTGATCTGCCGCTCGGAATCGATTAAAGCTGTTATTTGGTCGACATCAGTGGTGACTGGCCGACCAGAGCGAGGAGCATTTTCAATATTCATTTCTCCTGAACGAAATTTAGCAAACCACTTCTGACACATGCGATCACTTACGGCATCTTCCCCGTATACGGCACATATTTTTTTTCGAGTTTGTGTCGCGTTCTTTCCTTTACGGAAATAAAAAAGCATTATGCATCGAAAAAACACGTTATTTCCTTCCATCTCTAAACTAATGTCAAGTAAAAAGTTTTTAATTTATTGGGATAATTAATATCACTAAGTATGCGTTGAAATGTCACTAATCAAAACACGAAAGCATTTGACATATCACATCGACATAAACTTGTAAAATTCGCCTTTGAACGACATCTATTGAGAAATCCGCACGAACTTTCCGGACAACCCAATATTTGAATAGTTCAAAGTTTCCTATAATGTTGATCAATATTGAATCGTTTAAAAAGATAAGTAAACAGTTCGACCTTTAACTGCAAATCTTGCACTTCTCTTACTACCTCTTATCCCACATGTTCGTTTGAACTTTACAAATTTTGCTTACTTTATACAGCAAGACAAATATAATTTCATTTGCAATCGCATATTGCCGCAAAAAGAGTTGCGCGACTATGAGAAACGATTTATTACTCATACATATGTAATGCTCTTGTGTGTTTCGCGGTATACATTATTACATACAGTACTTCCTCGCGATTTTTCATCGAGCTAGATTTCTTTTTGATCTATTTCCAAAGAAATAAACGATAAATTACGCTACGACATTTGACCGTCTGTTACAATATTTTCCTTCGATAATATGATAATACGAAATGTCTTTCTACGACAATCACTACTATTACATCAATAAAATGTTACTGTCTCTCATCGGTCAATGGCCATTTCAATCTCGACTCGAGGGTAACATAATGTTCGTCATTATGTTGTTTTTCATTTGCAGTCTGACTATCTTAGAGGTGTTCAAGATGCATTTAATATATATGGTAGCGATATAAGTTAAAATTGATACTCATTGTTTCTTCGTAACTTTTTATAGTTATGGGGACTAATAGCCGGAATAACAGATTTAAGCATCATCATGGAGAATGTATCGCCGTTACTCGTGAACAGCAGCGTTGTTATAAAGCTAATCAACTTTTTGTATAATAAGTACAAAGTTCGTACATTACATTCTACTGCTTAAAGTTAATTTAATTGTTCTATAATTATAAATCGAATGATTTCTTTGAGGTGCAGATGAAAGATCTACTTGAACACATCAAAGAAACTTGGAAGATGATGAAACCTGAAACAGAAAGAAAAATACTAGAAAGTTATGCGGAAAGAACCAGAACGTTGACAATACAATATGCAAGTGAGTAATTAACTTTATATAAATTTAACAAATATTTATTATATTGTAGTTGAATATTTAATTATGAAAACTTAATATTATTTATTGATATCGCTCCATATAAGTTTATCATAAATTTTGCTTATAAAAGTCATTATCTCCTTCAACTTTTTTTTCTCAAATCATTATAACAGATCTGAATCAATTTGGAATATTTTATGGAACATATACACGTTAAAATCTTTACAAATTGACCTTTTACATATCAAAAAATCTTTTTATTAATATAATATAATTTTTGGAATTCTTCTCTAAAAAAGTCTGAAGAAAAAGAAGTGATTTGTTCCAGTTGGAATTTATTCAATGGGTATGTCTTACGCTACGATGCCATTTGTCATCAAAGGAATATATTTGCTTTTACCTTCAAACGAAACCAATCAAGTCAGATTTCTATATCGTTTAGAACACGTCATCGACGTGAACAAATATTTTAACCTTCTGATGTTTCATGGAATTATTAGTATATTTTATATATTGTCGGTACATATTGCTAATGATGCCATGTTTATACTTTACGTTCAACATGCCTGCGCATTATTCAAAAATATATGGTATGTTCAGTCTGTGAATGAAGTTGCAGTAAAAAAAAATTATAATTAAAAATGTAAACAAAATTATATTCTCATTGAATAGTTGCAACGTGAAGCATATACGAAGATCAGATTTTGGAATGCTTAAGCCGGATATTGCTAATGATGAAGCCTATCATATTATAATTAAATACGTCAAATCCTATAAATATGCTTTAAGGTTAGTGTTCAAATTTTTTATTAAGAAATAAATGCATCTTTCGCAATAGCTTTAAATATCGATAGAATTACATAGAATATTTTATGTGTGTGTGTATGTATCTGTGTGTGAGTTAAATTAAACTAATTATAAGTTTAATCACTGGTGGATCCTGGGAGAGGTGGGAGGGGTTTAAGGTTAAAACCCTCCCCTTGCAAATTAAAAAAAATTAATTTTTCTGAATCTGCTTAAAATATATATGTAAAAAAAAAATAAACGTTAAAGCAGGCCTGTCGACACGGGCGCCCATGACTCAAGCTCTCAGAGGTTCGTTTTAAAAGCTAAGCATAAAACCAAAAATATTAAATCTAATAATTTGGCAGAAACCTCCCCCCATTGTCGATGTCAGGATCTGCTAGTGAGTTTAATGATAAGTTTATAAATAAACTGACATATTTGTGTCATTGTTTTATAAAGATTTTCCGATCTTCTATCATCTACCTACGCAACGTGCAATTTTTTCTTAATAGGAAACGTGATAATAGCTTTAAGCTTCAGTGCGGCTGAGGTAAATACTTTATAAATTTGGAAACATTGAATAATACTTTCTTTCTATTTTACAATATCTATAATAAAATCACGTATTATTATTTAAGTTAATAATGGTGGATAATCAGTTAGATGAAATTATCAGAATTATTGCTGCTAATGTGGCACAATTGATACATATATTTCACTTGAATTTAACGTCTCAACGACTGATCGATCACAGCAGCAATCTTCAGGAAGCAATGTATGCATAAATTGACCAATACTATTAAAAGAAATGTATAAAAAAAATAAAAATATTAAAATAAATTTTGTACTTATAAACTTGTACTTTTAAAAAAGTTTTTTTATTTAAAAGAAAATGTTGAAGAAGAAGAAATGCGTAAAAGTAGAAAAAAATATTTTGCAAATAATATATAATATTTTATAATTCTAGTCTGTGTATTTATGTGTATTATATATGTAAATTATTATACACAAATTAGAATAATTTATATATTAATGTCACCATTTGAGCGAAAAGAAAATAAATAGTAAATTAATATATCAAATATATTAACAGTTATAGCTGTGATTGGTACAAATTATCACTAAGATCCAGACATCTATTGAGATTCATGTTAATGAGAGCTATTAAACCATGTCAAATAAAAGCTGGTAAAATATACGTAATGTCACTGGAAAACTTTAGCTCGGTACGTATATATTATTATAAACATATCATTTTGATTAAAATTCAGTTTTTTTTATATTACTTTCAGATATTACAGGTTTCTATGTCTTACTTCACTATGCTTACGTCTATGCAAGTTTAATTATTTAATAATAGTTAATTTAAACACTAGTCTAATTTAATGCATTATTACAAAAAATTGCATTATTAAGATGCATTATTAAAATGCATTATTAAAAAAATTTTAAATTTATTAATTTAAATGATATTAGCTGATACTTTTGTTTGAGATATGATCTTAATGAATGAGAAATGTATATGTGTATTTCATCATCTCGTTGTCACCATTATTAATAATTAGAATCCTAACACATAATAAAAGATTGATAAAAATAAGAAAATAAAGCAATTTTTCAATTCTATTAAAAAATTTTCAATTTTATTAAATAAACAGAGTTATAATTATGCTATTATACTAATATTTTTTTTAATAAATTGAATTCAAAGATTCATTTAGACAATTATATAATATCTCATCTTTCTCGTATATTTAAAAAAACTTAATAATTTATTTTCAAAAATAAAATAGAAATTATTTATTTGTATATACGCTCCTTGATTTAATTAATATATATTTAATGAATATTAATATACATATAAATTTATAATTTACATAGAATTATATAAAGAGTATTATATAAAGAGATTATCGAACAAATTGATAAGATCATTACATAAAATTTAATTTAAATAGATTTATTTAAAATCTGTTTACATATATAAAATATTTTCAAGACATCGTAAATTTCATTTCTCTAACAATTTGCAGGCATAAACGCTTGTAGCATCAGTTGATATAATAAATCATTTACACACAGTATGTGACATAGATAATGTAAGTTTTACCGCATGCAGTTATATTCATACTAAAATAATACGAAAATTGAAAAATAAATTAGAAATAAATTACCGCAAGAGAGTTTACATTAATCTATGCTTTAATTCTATACATATATATATATTAAAAAGATACTGTTCAAAATGCATAAAGTCACGGAAACCGCATAATTAAAGCCGCATTTCCCACCCCATAATTTCGAGGATTTTGGAAAGTCAACGGCGGTCGAGAATCTTCTCGAGACCTCTATTCTTTAACAAAAACCCGACCGTTCGAGCAATCTCTGTTTGCGCCGCGTATAAAAAAAACGCTCGATAACAACATTGTCAACTGCCGCCGGAATCCACGAGGCGAACGGGCATGCGCGCCCGTGCGTCACGATCAGCTGATGGCCAATCAGCTGATCCAAAAGAGTTGCGCGCATGTCAACAGTGAAGAATATTAATTCTGACCTCATCGGCGGCCAATCATGTGCGGCGCCGTGGGGTCACCGCCACACTTTAAAATTAATTGGGCCACGTCGCAACGGAGCCCAAAATCCGCCCCAGTATATAACGGGCCCAGCGCGCGGGCCTGGCCAAGTCTCGCACTTTACGCCTTTTCGCTCACCTATTTCTATTTCGACGCACCGCTAAAACATTACACGACCACTCTTTTCTCACGGATCACCGCTTTCGATTTTCGGAAAATTCTCGAACCTAAACGCACGACGACCGCTATCTCTTTGGACTTCGCTAAACCGCTCGCTCGCTTCACCGCACGCGATATCGCGCACGATAATCGCACCGCTTCACCGCACCGCTCGTTTCATTACGAATTACCGCGCACTGGACACTTGTAATTCTTTCACCTTTTCTTTTACTGTACACTGACTACATTAAACTTCTGTTATTTTTATTGAAAGTTCAAAGTTACTCTTTCACTACACGAATCCACTATCCACGATTCACTGCCGGACTTCCTCGCGAACATTTCTGGTCCTTCGAGCCGGAACCCAACATCCTCCGCGTCCGCTGTCTCGTGAGTGATCCTCCCAGTGCTGTGCAGTTTGTGGCGTGTAGTTACCTCTGAAACAGAAGGACAATGAGTGTTAGTTCCGAGACAAAGGTGCTGCTGGAGGCCCAGTATGACATCCACGGTCGGATCTCCCGCACCGTAGACAATCTGAGGAAGATGGGCGTGAGCAACATCACTCGTGATGCCATCCAAGCCCGTACCGGCATCCTGGACAGCCTCTGGCAAAAGATGGAGACTCAGCATGAGCTCATTCGAACAGCGCTGAAAGACAGATACAAGGAGAGTGAGTACGCTGTATCTAATTTCATTGAAGTCGCGGAGAATACGTACGCGACGTAGCACGTTGACTGGCTACGCTGAAAAGCTCAAGGGCGAGCCGTCCGCCGCGCCCAAAAGCGAGCCTAGCCAGGATCAGGCTCCTAGGACCTCGTTGCCGCGCATCAAACTCCCGATGTTTTCGGGATCCTACGAAGAGTGGCCCTCGTTCCGCGACCTCTTCCTGTCGGTCATCGGGGAGAATTCGTCCGTCTCCGACATCGAGCGCTTCCATTATCTCCGGTCTTGCGTCAAAGGGTCCGCTGAAAAATTAATCAAATCGTTGACTGTGACCGGCGACAATTATCAGCGCGCGTGGGTGATTCTGTGCAGACACTTTGAAAACAAGAGAGAGCTCATTCGCTCGAATTTCTTCGCGTTTACCTCGGTTTCCAAAATGAAGTGCGAGTCCGCGGAGGAACTCGGTCGCATTCACAACGCCGTTACGACCGCCGTAAACGCGCAGGAAAGTATAGGAAGGCCCATCGACACTCACGGTATGGACCTCCTTAACTTCCTGACGATCGAGCTCTTCGATTCGCGCACCCGGATGGAGTGGGAGTCCTCGATTAGCGACTCCACCGATCCGCCCGAGCACGACACTCTCACTAACTTCATCGCCAAGCGTATTCTCACGCTGAATGCCGCCAAGCCGAGAGTACCGACAAAGAGCTTTGAAGGTGCGTCGCGAACCGCGAAAGCTCAGCACGCAAGGACCGGTTCCGAACATTTAAAGTGCGCGCTGTGCCAAGGGAAGCACACGCTTATGCTGTGTGGTGACTTCAAGGCGAAGACCGCGAGCGACCGTAAGTCCTTCGTAGAACAGAACAGACTGTGCTACAACTGCCTCGGGAATCACTTAGCCTCAAAGTGTCAGTCTGTCAAAACCTGCCTAACGTGCAAAAACAAGCACCACACTACACTACACGACGCGTACACCCTGGCCACTTCCAACGAGGTTAGTGCCCTGTCTGCGACGCACTCCTCGTCCGAGCGCAAGGCGATCCTCCTCGCGACAGCCCGCCTGCACATAGCGGATCGCGCCGGGGATCTTCATCCCGTTCGAGCGATGCTCGATCAGGGCTCCGAAGTGTCCATCGTCTCCGAAGCACTGGTCCAACGTTTAAGGCTTCCCCGCACAAGCTCCTCGGTGTCCATCATCGGCATCGGCGGGGCTCGATCCGGGTCAACCCGCGGCAGAGTGGCGCTCAGCCTCTCCTCGACGACTACGGGGACCAAGCTCAAGGCCGTCGCTTTCGTGCTACCACGCCTGTCGGCGTATCAGGGGTCGTCTGTGAGGACCCTCGCCCCCTGGCCTCACATCCGCGGCCTCGAGCTCGCCGATCCGCAATACCAGGAGCACGATCCGGTCGAGCTGCTGTTGGGTGCGGAGGTCTGCGCCCACATCCTGGAGGCCGGCCTTCGAAAAGGTGGACCTCACGAGCCGGTCGCCCAGAAAACGGTCCTAGGATGGATCCTGTCGGGAGGATCCAGCTCAGCGCCCTTCCAAGGTCCCCGGAACTCCTTGCAGTGCTCTGTGGACAAAGAGTTGGATCAGCTCGTACACCGTTTTTGGGAGCAGGAAAGGGAGTCGCCAGCCCCCGTGGCGCTCACGCCGGAGGAAGAGGAGTGCGAGACTCTCTTCACAACCACTCACCGGCGAACGGCGTCCGGACGATACATCGTTCGTCTCCCCTTCTCGTCCTCGCCAACGCCGCTCAGCGATACCCGGAAGCCTGCCGAACGCCTCTTAGCCGCCATGGACCTCCGGGGCAGAAGAGACCCTGAGTTCGGTGCTCGATATCGGGAGTTTATGCAGGAGTACGAGAACCTGGAACACATGAGTCCTGTGGAAACAGTCAGCACGGCTGGCTGTTACCTACCTCACCACGGAGTCCTCCGTCAGACTAACTCCGGTACCAAGCTCCGCGTTGTATTCAACGGGTCGCAACGCACCGCCTCCGGGGACTCTCTCAACCAGCGCTTGATGGTCGGCGCCAACTTGTTACCGGCCTTAGCTGACGTCCTCCTTCGCTGGCGTCGGCACCGCTTCGTGTTCGTCACGGACATCGAAAAGATGTTCAGACAAATCCTCGTCCACCCAGAGGATCGCCGCTTCCAGCGGATACTCTGGCGCACCGGAGCATCTGAAAATGCAAGAGAATACGAGCTTAATACTGTCACGTATGGGCTCGCCTGCGCTCCGTTCCTCGCCGTCCGCACGCTCCGCCAACTCGCCATCGACGAGAAGGCACGGGGTCCGAGGGGAGCGCCCGCTCTACTCCATGACTGTTACATGGATGACATAATTACCGGGGCTGACTCGTTGCACCACGCCGTTGCACTGCAAACGGAGCTTCGAGAGCTTTGCACGGCGGGCGGGTTTCCACTTCGCAAGTGGGCCGCCAACTTTGAGGCCGTCCTAGAGGGTGTTCCCTCCGACCACCGGCTCCAGCAGGCGCACCACTCCTGGGAGAATGAGGTACACTCCACGTTGGGCCTGCGCTGGCATACCGCCTCCGACAACTTCTCTTTCGCGATCCAGCCCCCGGTCGCTAGCGAGTTCACCAAGAGGCGAGTATTGGCCGAGACAGCGCGGTTGTTCGACCCCTTAGGATGGCTCGCCCCTGTCGTTATCCGCGCCAAGATCCTCATCCAGTCGGCGTGGCTGAAGAGACTAGGTTGGGACACTCCGCTCCCAACCGAGGACGCTAAGTCTTGGCAGCGCCTCCTCTCCGAACTCCCTTTGCTGGAGAACCTCCGGATTAAGCGTTGGCTGGGCGTGGACCACCCGGCCCCGCGGATCGAGATCCACGGGTTCGCGGACGCGTCTGAGCGCGGTTTTGCGGCCGTCGTCTATCTCCGCGTAACCAGTGGCGACGAGACGGCCATCCACCTCCTAGCTGCAAAAAGCAAGGTTGCGCCTATTAAACCAGTGTCCCTGCCTCGCTTAGAATTGTGCGCCGCAGCCCTACTCACCAATCTGACGTTTCACCTTCGCAAGACCTTAGAATTGGTTTCAGCTCCGATAACTCTGTGGTCAGACTCCCGGGTGACGCTCCAGTGGATCCAGGGACACGCTTCCAGATGGAAGACCTTCGTCGCTAATAGGGTGTCCCACATCCAGGAGAAGCTTCCGGAAGCGCGATGGCGACACATCCCGGGACGAGACAACCCCGCCGACTGCGCGTCTCGGGGAGTAGAGCCCCGGGACCTGATCAGCCACTCCCTCTGGTGGACAGGACCGTCATGGCTCCCCAAGGACCCATTGCTCTGGCCACAGAGCGACCACGCCGAGCACGAGGTCGACGTGCCGGAGACGAGAGCCGTCGTCTCCAACCTGACGACCCAGGAGAAGACCGAACCTGAGATGCTTCTCAGGTTCTCCGACCTCCATCGCCTCCTAAGAGTTACTGCGTGGTGTTGCCGATGGCGAGGCAACCCACCGAGCTCCAGGGAGCACCTCCCCCTCGCGCCTGACGAGCTAGAGGCAGCCCTGCTCCGTTGGATCCGCCTGGTGCAGGCACATCACTTCCCCAAGGAGATCGCCGCTCTGAAAAGGGGCAACGCGTCAGTCAAGGGTCAACTGTCGAAACTGACCCCCTTCCTCGACAATCATGGCATTATTCGAGTCGGGGGCCGGCTGAAGCACGCTGTGCTCTCACCTGATGAGTGCCATCCGATCATCATGCCTCCAGAGTCATGGTTGACTCAGCTCCTCGTCAGGGCACACCACCGGCGAACGCTCCACGGCGGGGTCCAGCTCACTCTTGGACTGCTCCGCCTACGCTTCTGGATTCCTCGAGGCCGCTCCCTCGTCAAGAGCATAATCCACCGGTGTGTGACGTGCGCGAGATGGAAGGCTGCAGCACCGCAGCCTATAATGGGCAATCTCCCGACGGCACGAGTCACTCCAGCACGCCCGTTTCTGCGCACCGGGATCGATTACGCCGGACCGATCTTGATACGAACCGCAAAGGGGAGAGGTCACAAGGCGCACAAGGGGTTTATCGCCGTTTTCGTCTGTCTCGCTACCAAGGCCGTGCACCTGGAGGTCGCGTCAGACTACTCCACCGAAGCCTTTCTCGCTGCGTTCCGGCGATTCACTTCCCGTCGGGGCCTCTGCGAGGAAGTCTATTCGGATTGCGGCACAAATTTTGTCGGCGCCAATCGGGAGCTGCGCCTTTTGTTCCAGGCGTCGTCATCCGACGGCCGGCGCATCGCTCACAGTGCCGCATCCGACGGGATACGGTGGAAGTTCAATCCGCCGGCGGCACCTCACTTCGGCGGGCTTTGGGAGGCAGCGGTGAAATCAACCAAACACCATCTGCGGAGAGTCCTCGGAGACACGACCCTCACCTTCGAGGAAATGTCTACCTTCCTCGCGCAAGTGGAGGCGTGTCTCAACTCCCGTCCTCTTCAAGCCTTGTCCGACGACCACGACGACATCACGGCACTCACTCCCGGTCACCTTTTGATCGGGGCCCCGCTGCTGGCCGTGCCCGAGCCCTCGCTGTCAGACTGCAATCCAAACCTCTTGGCCCGCTGGAAACTCCTCCAACGGATGCGCGACCACTTTTGGGAGAGATGGTCTCGAGAATTCATTAACTCACTGGCTTCCCGGCCAAAGTGGCTGAAGGACACCGTCAGCCCCTCCGTAGGCGACCTGTGCCTACTGCGGTCGGACGTCACACCGCCGACCAGATGGCCACTCGCCCGGATCGTCCAGCTGCACCCTGGGGGTGACGGCGTGACACGAGTGGTGACAGTGCGCACCGCGTCCTCGGAACTCCTCCGGCCGCTTGCCAAAATCGTCCTCCTGCCCGGAGCCGACACCACAGCACCAACAACCCCGGTCTCGTGAGCGTGAAAGATCGCATTTTTTTTTCATCCTCCTTTTTTTCTATTCATTATAATCACTGGTACTTACCGCGACATCACCGATAAGAGTACCGCGCGTAATCACCGCTTTCTCACATGCGATAATCACACGCGAACCGCGCTACCACTCTTCATTCTTTTCTCACCGACACTTCACCTCACTTGAATCGTTCATCACCCGCTGTCACTCAAGCATCACTGCACTCGCGAGATCATCCGCTAAAACCCCTTGCAATCAGCTCACCGCATTCACTGTATATTCTTCATTACCGCACCACTTCATATTACGGAGGATTCTATCCGACTGCACAACACGTGCTCTCGCGTGACGTCACACATTCCATTGATTGATCGCGATCAATGGCTCGCCGATAGTATCAGTGCGACATCTGTCCGTACCCGCGCCCACCCAGGAATTTCGTCACGCACTGACGAGGCGGGCGGGATGTTCAAAATGCATAAAGTCACGGAAACCGCATAATTAAAGCCGCATTTCCCACCCCATAATTTCGAGGATTTTGGAAAGTCAACGGCGGTCGAGAATCTTCTCGAGACCTCTATTCTTTAACAAAAACCCGACCGTTCGAGCAATCTCTGTTTGCGCCGCGTATAAAAAAAACGCTCGATAACAACATTGTCAACTGCCGCCGGAATCCACGAGGCGAACGGGCATGCGCGCCCGTGCGTCACGATCAGCTGATGGCCAATCAGCTGATCCAAAAGAGTTGCGCGCATGTCAACAGTGAAGAATATTAATTCTGACCTCATCGGCGGCCAATCATGTGCGGCGCCGTGGGGTCACCGCCACACTTTAAAATTAATTGGGCCACGTCGCAACGGAGCCCAAAATCCGCCCCAGTATATAACGGGCCCAGCGCGCGGGCCCGGCCAAGTCTCGCACTTTACGCCTTTTCGCTCACCTATTTCTATTTCGACGCACCGCTAAAACATTACACGACCGCTCTTTTCTCACGGATCACCGCTTTCGATTTTCGGAAAATTCTCGAACCTAAACGCACGACGACCGCTATCTCTTTGGACTTCGCTAAACCGCTCGCTCGCTTCACCGCACGCGATATCGCGCACGATAATCGCACCGCTTCACCGCACCGCTCGTTTCATTACGAATTACCGCGCACTGGACACTTGTAATTCTTTCACCTTTTCTTTTACTGTGCACTGACTACATTAAACTTCTGTTATTTTTATTGAAAGTTCAAAGTTACTCTTTCACTACACGAATCCACTATCCACGATTCACTGCCGGACTTCCTCGCGAACAGATACAAAAGTATTCTTTTATATATACTAAAAAGATACAAAAGTATTCTTTTTTTATTAAAAAAATTATTAATATTTATTCGTAATTCTGCTTTCTACAAGAATTATTCTGCTTATTATTAATTTTGTAAGTTATAACTTTTACATTCTTAATATCTACAGCAGAATATTTCTTGTAGAAAGTAGAATTACGCATTTTTTTTTATAAAAAAAGAATACTTTTGTATCGTTTACCAATCCAACTCTTTTTACACGTTAAAATGATTTGTGTAAGAATGGAAAAAATCGCCGTCAAATTCTATGTATTAAAATACCATTATTTAAAAAAAATCGTATTAAAAAATACACGAATGCAAAAGATATCTCTTTTTATGTGGCAAATACGTTTCACAATAATAAGAAATCGCGTTATTAAAAAAAAACCGTGTAGAAAGAAAAATATGTACATAAAAGAGTTAAATATATTAGAAAAGTATGCATAGAATATGTATATTATTTGATTCACAGTATTTAACTCGCTTGTACGTTACTGCAGACACGGTCGATCCAAGCAGCTGTCATCTATGAATTATTCGATTGATTAGAGTTGCAGTCGGTAATTGATTTCTAATGGTAAAAGGTTGTTACAACCATTATGATTCATCCTATGTATATATATATATATATATATATATATATATATATATATATATAGAATTATCTCTTTATATAATCAAATCTCTTTTATATATATATATATAGAATTATCTCATTATATAATAAAATCTCTTATATATATATATATATATGTTAGGCTCTAGCGAAAAAACCGACAAAAATCTGAAAAGTCCAACTTCGTTGTGGTCGATTTTTCCGCTCAGTGAGCTTTCGATCTTTGACATATATAAATTAAAAATGTATTATATTGTGACATCTTGTTAAATGTATTACTTTTCGATTCAACTAAATGCACAATCGATTTAATAATATTTTTTTGAATTAATTAATATTTTTAATATTTTTTAAAATATTTAATAATTTCTTCTTTTTTTAATTATAACCCTTATAAACAAAATAATATGTTAATATATTAGTGAAAAATAACATTTTGAGTTAAGAATCAAACTTTTTATTTTCGAAAGTTGTATTAAATGAATTTACTACGATAAAAAAATTTTAGTTTGCCATTGATATATATTAACTATTTAAGATGCACTCCGTTTGACAAAATTTTCGAAATGATTCTTTACCTGTCTCTATCTCGATTGATCCATCGAACGCTTTATCTTTCAGAAGATATAAGTAAATAGTTCGAAACTTACTTGCACAAATATCTACCGTTTTACCTCTTTGATTATTCCTCGTTCCACATGCTCATTTAAATTTTATGAATATCTTTGTTTTGTAAAGCAAAAGATATATAATTTCAATCGCAATCGTATTTTGCCGATGACAAAGAATTGCGCGAATGATTGCAAAAATTCATTATTTATGTATGCTTTGTGCTTCGAACATCATAATACATTCTCTCGCCGTTTCTTTACAGTGTCAGATTCCTTTCTGAAACTATTCAAAGAAGCACACGGTAAATTACGCGATTGAATATTCGACGAGATATTTAACCCTCTGACATATAGTACTTTTCTTTGATGGTTTGATAGTACAAAATGTCTTTCTATGACAATCGCTATTATTACATCAATAAAATGTTACTATCTCTCATCGGCCAATGGCCGTTTCAATCTCGAATGGAAGGAATTGTCATGCTTGTCATAACATTATTTCTCAGTTGCAGTTTCATGTCCTTGCAGGTGTTTAAAATATATCAGATATACAAGAAAGCGATACATTAGAATCGAGATTGACTATCTGTTTTTGATATAGATTTGGGGTTTGATAGCTGGGATAAATGATTTAAATATTATCATGGAGAATGCTTCACCATTATTTATAGACGTTTTCATTTTCATGAAGCTAATTAATTGTTTATACAATAAGGATAAAGTTCGTATATTACTTCCTGTCATGCAAAATTAATCGGGTTGTAATTTTGAATCGTGCGATTTCTTCGAGCTACAGATGAAACATCTTTTGGAACGTATCGAAGAGACCTGGAAAAGAATACAAGTAGGACCAGAGAATAAGATATTACAAAATCACGCAGAACAAAACAGAACGTTAATAATAAGATACGCATGTGAGTAATCTTTGTGAAAAAATTTTTGTGGTGTTAAATAAATATTAGAGTATTATATCAGAAGTCCATGATATTTCTTTGTTAACTTTTACTGGATATTTATATTTCAATCAAAACATCTTTTACTATTCGTCAACTAATTTTTTTCCTCTTTGTTATTTTCTCTAAGGATTGTAAGAGATTGAAATATTTTAAAATCTTCAGTTATAATTATTTTCGAGCTCTAAAAATTAAATTTTCTTTTGTATTCGCTTTCGGTGAACAAATTTAATGAAAAAAATTTTTTTATACTTCTCTTTAAAAATTCTTACCTTTTCTTCAAAATATTGTTATTTTTGAAGCGAAATGTCAAGAAAAAAATTACTCGTTATAGCAATAATGTACATGTTGGGTGTCTTTTACTCTGCAATGCCCATCATCGTTAAAGTACTATACTGGCTTTTACCTACGAATGAAGCTTACACGACCAGGTTTCTGTTTCGCTTGAATCATGTTCTCGACGTGGACAAGTACTTCACTCTATTGATGCTTAATGGAATTCTCGGTGTACTCTTCTTAATGTCGGTGTGGGTAGCTGCCGATGGTATGTTCATACTTTGCACTCAGCATGTCTGCGCATTATTCGAGACTGTACAGTAAGTCGAATACCGCGAATAAAATTGTAATACGCGAAAAAAGAGTCTATAAACAGAATTAAATTTCAATTAAACAGGAATAAAGTGAAGCGCATACAAGGCTCGGATATTGTGATGGACGAGCCGAATATAATGGATGATGAAGCGTATCACGTTATAATTGATTGTATCAAATCATACAAATATACATTAAAGTTAGTGTCAGTAACACATCTTTAAATAGAAATGCGTGCCATTTAATTTAATGAGAAATTAAAGCGAAAACACACAAAACTTTCATACAACGTTAATTGTTTTGCTGTTTTATGTATAGCTTACAATATGTATTTTTATAATTATGTAATCATCTTCTATATCTTGTTTTAATTATAATTCTGTATATATAATTTTTTTTAATGCCAAACGAAATTAACGAGACGTTGCATTCATTTAAATTAATCAATATATATTTGTTTTATTGTTTTATATGAAGATTTTCCGAGCTACTCTCGTCCACCTACGGAACACATTTTCTTTTTTTGCTAGGAAACGTAGTTGTAGCTGTAAGCTTCTGCATAGCTGAGGTAATTTTTCAATCATTCTTAACACTATTTGCATTTCCATTCAGTACAATTAATAAAGTCGTATATTGTTTATATTGTTAAGTTAATAATGAGGGATATTCCATTGGATGAAACTGTCAGACTCATCGCTTGCAATACCGGATTATTATTACATATATTTTATCTAAGCTTGATGGCTCAACAAATAATCGATTATAGCGACAAATTTCAAGAAGTAATGTACGCATGTAAAATAATCATTGAAATGTTGAAAAATGAGTAAATTGCATTAATTTAAAACAAATGTATGAAAGTAAATCACATTTGTGAATAATGAATTTCATATATTTATTTGCACATAATATTTGCAAATAAATGCCACTAGTTGTTAAACAAATGGCAATTATATGAGAAATTAATCTATGGAATGCATTAACAGTTACAGCTGCAACTGGTACAAGATTTCATTGAGATCCAGAAAACTATTGAGATTTATGTTATTGCGAGCTTCTAAGCCGTGTCAAATAAAAGCTGGCAAAATGTACGTAATGTCAATGGAGAATTTCAGCTCGGTACGTAGTATTATTTAAATAATTATGTGTCATAAAATATAATTATTTTTGCGATATCCTTTTTAGATCTTACAAACCTCCATGTCTTATGTCGCGGTGCTCACTTCATTGCAATAATTATTGTATAATATAGTTATATAATAGATTTTCTATTGTGCTATAATGAAATATATTCTTTAAAAAATTGTAATTTTTCGATATCAATTTATTTTTATGCAAAATACTTTTTTTTAATATAATAAATAATGTAAATGTATACATAAGCATTTCATTATTGCAATTGACATAATTATGTTTAAACCAATTAAAGAATTAAAATGTTATAATGTTGCGGAAGATTTTACTATGTATAAACTACAACAAATCTTCTCAATAAATATACATGTACAGGGTATCTCTAAAGTCCGACCCTACTCCTGGATCTCGGAAAGGGCTTTAAATATGGAAAAATGTTTCAGACAGAAGTTGTTTGATTCTAAGAGAGACATAAGATGCCATTGGTTTTACCTTGAATAATTGTTTGAGGATCACAAGAAGGTGACTTTTAATTTTTTAAATGAAACCTCCTATTTTTTATTACTTATTTTTACAGTTTATCTCCAGAGCTTTCCAAAACATTATAATAAAATATTTTTCAAGTTATGAGGTTTGAAATAATTTCTTAATTTTACATAAACCATAAAATATGTAGTAAAATATTCATTTTTCGATTACCTTACCTTAATACTTCTACGTACAAAATAATGAGAGGAATCAGATGGTGTAAAAAAACATATGATTGTGTCTAAGAAAAAATATGTAATTTGCAATTAGCAATTATTTTTTTTATTAATTTATAGACAAACACGCTTGTGGCATCAGTTGGTATAATAAATCACATATAATATATGACATAGATAGATAACATAGGTTTTACCATATGCAGTTATATTTGCAGTAATCATGTAATAAAGAAATTAAAATAAGGAAATAAATTGCAGCAAAAATTTACATTAATTTATGCTTTAACTCTAAATTTAAAAAAATATTATAGCACTTTGTTAAAATAATTATTTTTCATTTCTATGCAAACCAATTCTTATATATAACTTAATTGATGTACATCATTTTTTTTTATATATTAATTAACTTTTACTGAGAAATTAATTACATTTATATTAACTTTATTGTATTAACTTATTATATTAACTTTATTATATTAACTTATTATATTAACTTTATATTAACTTTATTTTATTTTGTAAAGTTTAAATAAAATTTAATATTTTCTAAGAAGTATATACAATTTTTAAAAGTAATAAAATTTACTATAAAAATAAAAAAAATACTATAACAATATATATATATATATATATATATATATATATATATATATAATTATTATAAAAACTATTTTAATTTCTATTTACAAATATATGAATAAGATCACTAAGAATCAGTATTTCATTGATCTCTAGTAGAAACGCTTCTTTTTTGTTATTTTATCTTATATCTTATTAATTATAGTCAGTGGAAATAAAATTTTACCACAAAATCGGTAATCGCTAGTTCGTTTGTTTACCGCTACGCTATTTTTCTCGTACTTAAGTTTTGGTCATGAGGATTATATAAAGCTTGCAAAAGACAACAGATAAAATTAAAAGTATCACTTCGATTTAATTTCTGATAGAATCTCAATAGAGGAATTTCAGATATTAAATCGATTTTATAAGTGGGACATATCCGGCGAATAAACAAAAATCATCTGTTCATTATATATTAAAGATGTGTAAAATAAGTTATCATCTATTTAACATTCATGTTCTAATATGCATGTAAATATAAATAAAATTTTTAATTTTATATGAAGTAGATAAATTAATATTACTAATTAAAAGTCAATGTTAATTCTTTTAGTGAAATATTATCGATTCACAGTGCTATAATAACTTATAACCGCATATCAACTGTATATCAGTAACTCTGTTTACTGTTTCCAGTATACTGATTCATTTTTAGAGAATGTGTATGAATGCATTCTTTATTAATTCCGTAAAAATCAAATGTTTTACGAATAAAAGAAAAAAAATGTATTTTAAACGTATTTTAAACATTTTTTAAACGTTTTTTTTATTAGAAAAAAACGTATCTCTTAACGTTCTTCAAGTGGACATTTTAATCAATCAGAAACGTTTTCAAGAGTCGGTTATAAAACGTTTCGGAGAAACATTTGTGAAACGTTTTTGAAACGAATAAGTGCTACCTGGGATCCTTATACGTACATATTTGCATTAATCTATAATATTCATATCAACTTTATTTACTTTTCTATGACATCTCTTGTTTTGTTGAATATTACAAATTCGTTACTTATGACTTACTTAAGTATTCATAATGTATATTAAACACATGTATAAAAGCAAAAAATAATTATTTTAAACAAAATCATATAATTAATTTAGAAGTACTTTACAATTAATCATAAATTACACTAAAATATAATCATTATTATAAATCGTTATTATAAATCATTATTATAAATCAAATGTTAAGAAGAAAAGTATTAAACAAAAAAATTTTTTTAATTAAAGCATATATCTCTCTCCGCAGATTTGTGATCATTTTTGTTTTTCTTTAACTTGTCGAAGGATTGTGAGATACATCGTTTTTCGCTAACAAGTCTAATAATTTACTTAACGTTAAAACATACATCTCTCGGAGCGATAATAAGATACCATATTCTCTTTCAAGAATCTGTCTTATCTCCATATAGCTTAGCGAATCGATGCCAAATTTATCGAAGCTGTCATTGATATTTACCGAGATATTTTCAATACCAAGGATATTGGCAATGACATGGACGACATGATCAATACTGTCGTCGTTATTTACAGATTTGCGTTTCTCGGCTATCACTGTAGATGATACTACTGGGTATGGTTGTTGAAGAAAAACGTCTATAGTCTCAAGACAGCTGGACACACGCTGCGGTAAAACACCAATACGCGTTATACCGATGTTTTTATTCTTCATCGAATCTATAAAAATCAGAGTATCATATAATGATATTAAATATAAAAAATGATTATTATTCGCTTTAAATATTTAATTTGTGCTTTTGTTGTAATAATATTAGAAATCTGCAATTTTAATAACGTTATAAGTCTGCAATTATCTTCTACTAATAGTTCCTCTATAATTTTACTGTATGTATTTCTTCCAATAAAAATTGTTAATGTTTCTAATAATAAAAATAAATAATTTAATAAATCTTCTCAAAGAGTCATACAAATCATTATGGTGACTACGTGAATATTTTTTTACAGTAAAATGAAAGCAGTTTTTAGATAAAATTTAATAAAAGAAAAAGGGCAATAAAATCCGAAAAAGATCTAAGATTATTGAATCTCAAAGAAAGAAATAGAGAAATGTCTCACCAATATATAAACCAACATCTCCTATAACACCCCATTGAATAGCGAGACCGTGCAAACCAGCAGTATGCCTCTGTTCTATGATTTTTTCTATAGCTGAATTTGCGAGACCATAATTGGATTGACTCGCATTGCCTCGGCTAGACGCTATAGACGAGAACACAACAAAAAGATCCAATGATGGACAAGACTTTCTCGATACCACGTCCAGATTCCTCGTACCGTTGACCTTTGGCAAGATTACAGTCTCGAAGTCGACCACTTGCAGGTTCTCAAACAAAGCGTCACGTAAAACGACGGCCAAATTAAATATACCGCCCACAGGAGCCAATCGATTACTCTCGTCGATCAAACATTCGGCGCCCGAAAATGTTGTAATGTCTGCCGTAGAGATGATAACTTTGATGCCATTATTGCGCCAATGTTGCACGCGTGACATCTGATAAGCAGTGCGTATTCCAGTACGTGACACGAGAACGATGAATCTAGCGCCGCGGGTGATCATCCAATTGGCCAATTCCAAACCAAATCCACCAAGACCACCGATCAATACATACGACTTGTCTGGATACATATAAGTACGTGATATGGCCGCTACCGTTGTTTGCATCGATAGCACATGTTTCTGTGGCTCTTCATCTCGAATCTTCAGCAATACCTTGCCGATATGTTTGCCTGCCGTCATAAATCTAAATCCTTCCTCGAGGCTTTGCTTCGAAAATACGGTCGTTGGTAATGGACGCACTACACCATTCTGGATTCCCTCTGAGATTAGCCTAACAGTTTCTAGCTTATCTTCGCTATCCTCGAACAGCATTTCTAAAAGTATACCATGATAGGAGATGTTCTTTAAAAATATCGACATATCTATGCGATTGCCATTCAACATGTCGTATTTCCCAATATCGAGGAAGCGACCATTCTTCGCGACGCACCGTAAGCTGGCATGCAGTTTCTCTTCTGACAACGAATTCAATACAATATCGACCCCACAGCCTTGGGTTTCGTCCAATATCAGCTGTTCAAAACTCGTATCTCGGGAATTGCCAATGTGCTTGTCAGTCAATTGCGAAAAAGTCTTCTTGAGATACAATCGTTTTTCCTCTGTGCCGACAGTGGCGAAGACGGTGCAGCCGGCGTGCAGGGCAATATTGATTGCCGCTAGGCCAACGGCACCCGCACCAGAATGAATCAGTACATTTTTGCCCGCTTTCAATCGACCTCGTACAAACAAAGCATAATAACTGATGACATAAGCGAATGGTATTGTCGCCGCCTGCTCCAATGTCCATTCCTCAGGTACTTTCCAAAGAAAATCGGAATCCGGCAACACGGTGGTCGCCAAAGCTCTAGATTTAGTTAAACCCATTACTCTACAGCCGTTTGCATCTCTCCCGGAGAATTCTAATCCTAACACATAGTCTTCTGTAACAAGCTCCAACGATGAAAGAGCGTCCATTGATAGTTTACCAGTCGCCAACAAAATATCCCTATTAGTATTTATCAATAAATATTTATCACTGTGGTAACATATTTTTATTACAATTTTAGAGAGAATTTCGGAAAGAGCAAAAAAATGATGCTTGAAACTTGCCTGAAATTTAATGACGCATAGTATACACTACAGAGTGTATTTGGATATTTGGTCTGACAATACGTTAACGGACTTTGAATCCATTCCAAACTATTTAAATTTCCCGTCGT